TAACTCAATGAGACTTTTATTGTGTTCCTGATTTTAGAAGATCATACTGTACTCTAATTGCAATTTTTTTTTTCGAGTTGATAAAAGATCTAAAAGTCTTGAGCTAAACCACTTGTGGACCAATCTCATTCTCCTTTGAGTCTTAAAGGCTTCTAATTTTGGATATAGGAAATGGTAAAGCAGCTCTCTTTTCCTCCAGAGAAGAAGTTAAGCTACATAGCTGTGCAGTTATCCAATAGATAGGCTTGCTGCCAAAATGGTACCTAATGAGTTATAGAAAAGTTAGTCATGCCAGTAATTGCATGATTAGAGACGATTTTAAAGGAGTTATGCCTCTTGAGTAACTAATACATGTTTTGTAGTGCTTTGTTTATTTTCAGATACACTAAAGGTAAATATTTATTGGTACTGAAACTGTAAAGTATTTATACCAGCTTGAAACTTCCAGATAAAACACGCTGATCAAAGAAAAAGCTTTTAAAGTTGTTTCCTGCTGCACTAGAGATAATGTGTATATTCCAAACCCTTCCTGTCCCTGATGTACAGTGAAGGAAAGTAAAACCATTGAAAAATAACAAAAATGCAGACAGATCACATTACAGTATTCAAACAGTGTTAATCCTTATTAACTTGATCCTTTCACCTTTTTTGTATAAAATATACAGTTAGATTGTAAATCCCTTGGGCAAAAAGCAATTTTTTCTTCCATTTTTGTACACTTCCTAGCAGATTTGGATGCTGCTTGATTACCAATGCTGTTATATCTGACAATAGTGAGTAATTATTAAGGTAAGGAAGCATTCACCGTGCGGTTCTTTGTGGAAATCACTAGTGAGAAAATCCTGAAAACGTAGTATAATTACTCTGCAAACCTAAAGCATATTCTTACTTTTGTAAACAAGCCTTTAATTTCTCTACAAAGATCTCACTTCCAGTATTGATCAGGCCAGGTTCTGTGTGGCTTCTGATATCTGAAACCATTGGTTGTTGAAGAGAATGGAAATTGGTGAAATTAATGGAGCTCTTTTCTGCATGTATAAAATAACAATAGTGGTTTTCTATCAGATAAATAGTGGTGATAGAAGGGTGCAATGAATTCAGTGACACTATACAAACATCCATGTTCCATTTTGAAGAGACAGGAGAACAAATGTGAACCCTGATCTTGGGAGGTCTATGCAGAATTGTATGGGCAAATGGAGTTTCCCCTACATTTACACAGCTGTAGTAGAATCTGAATCTGGGTATTACAATTAAATTCTAAACCAGTACCCTTATCTCCTGCTTACTAATACAATTGGATTTTTGTGCCTTTTTTTTTTTTTCCCTCGCTCGTGTAGTGTGGATTGCTAAAATACATATGTTTATTCTGGATTTGAGATGTTGCCTTACAGTTGTCCAGTTGCAGCTTCTTTTTTTCTATAAAAAGTGTGCTTTTTGATGCAATACATGCAAATATGCTTTTAATGTTTTGTGTGTTGGCTAAATAGAGTTGTGGGAAATGATATCGTTACAATAATGGCTTTGCTCAGACTTGTTGTCCACTCCCATTCCCCTTGGAATTAGCTACAGGCTGGCAAACTGCAGTAGCCTTTATTATATTGAATACACAATGGCTCTGCTAAAAATGTTTAACCCAAAGTGGGCAACGAAGGTGAGAGGTTTCAGCTCTCAGCCCACTTGGCTATGGTGGTGTCTTTTCTGCCCTGCACTCCCCTAGTCTACCAGAATGGCTCTGTGATTGAAGCTTTGCAAGTCTTAATTTTGAATATTTTGTCTTTTATTATTTGGAGGTGCAGATTGCAAACTTATCTTTGGTTCACTTTCCATTTGCTTTCTCAACTAAACCACCTCATAGAAGGCTTATGAAATACATGTTTTATTTGCTGTCCTGGAACGGTTTTCCTCAGTGAATCTATAGTTGAAGCATTTTCAAAATGCTTGATTTCCCTCAAATTATAAATCTACTTTTGCAATCCAAGCAAACAAAGAGCAGTCTTAGCTAGCATATTGACATAATAACAGCATTTAACGTAATTTCAGATGGAGGAGCCTCAAATCCCTGACAGAATATGGGCCAATTGCTTCTCTCCATTGGCTGGGCAGGGAGCCTGACCACAGTTTTGCAGCATGGCTGAGCCATGAATCTGTGGCTGGTGGAGTTATTAGAGCCTTGTAGTGGAGCTTCCTCCAGGGTATGCTCCTTCTCTGCCTTGACAGTGGAATTAGCCACCTCAGTTCATGCCTTGGGAAACAACATGTCCCATTTCATGCTTTATTTAGCTACATTAAAAAGAGATACTGGGGACTCCTCAGGTGGTTGTCACTTGTCACCATCATTCATGGGCAAAGACGAAGCAGGTACAGTCCACAGGTTTCTGCTTCAATCTTATTCAGTTTATTTTGGCACTTCCACTGAAAAAGGTGTCAGAGACATAGCAGGTGATTGCATTTCAAAGCATTAGCCTGTGAAAGCTGACAACTTGCTCCATGAGGTTTTTCATCATGGATACGCTAGTTAATGTCAGAGCACTAATTATATATGTCCTTTAAACTCTTACTGCATATCAATCTACAATATATAATAAATTCTAAACTTATTAGATGATATTTAAGGTTCCTTCCAACCCATTCTGTGATTCTGTAATATTGTAGAATATTTGTATTAAGATTTTTAGATATGATCTGTTTCTGATGATTGGGTGAGATTGCCTGTAGATGGGCCTCTTTCTCAGATTGTGGGTGTTGTTTGCTGTCCTAATTTGCCTAAGTATTGGCAACTAAAATGGCAACTAAACCCACACATCACGTTTCTTTTGAAAGTCTAGGTCGTAATATTTAATACTATGGTAACTGCATTGACATTGCATTTTTTGTGATGCTTGCCTAAGTAGTTCTTTCTGTGGTTTATAGTTACATGGACACTGTGTTTGAAAGCATGGCTTCAGGGAAGCTGGTGACATTCTTGATTTCTGTAGAACTAGGATGTCCCTGTAAGAGTTTACTCTGATTTGACTTTGACATAGTCTCTTAACTTTATGTTTAAAAATAGCTCTAACTTTATGGCAGATGTGGAGTTTACTCTTCTTGTTAGACTGGAACATGTAACTCACGTGTATGTGTAGCATGGCCACCATTAGCTGCTTTTGGGATTACAAGTTTGGAAGACCAAATTCAGCAAGCATTTGCTCACCTGCATACTTAATAAAGCGGCTTATGTCGAGCTTTTATTAAAGTGTGTATTTTCAGAATTGGGATTTAGTCACTGCAAAGAAGTGGAAACAAGCTCATTTGTCTCTTAGACCGAGCAAGTGCGAAACTTGTGGCTGAAGCAGAGGGCTCAAGGTCAGAAGCTGTATGCTTTTTACATTGCCTCTCTCAACCAAATTTCAAAATTCCCTGAAGTTTTCATCTCTATTAGGCTCTGTGAAAGCTGAATCTGACCATTTTAAATGAGGTCATGTTTTTCTAATGCCTCAACACAGAATTAAATGGTAACATTTGCAAGTATAGTTAAGGCAGTGAAGTCTCTGTAATGGGGTGATGTTGTACTGGTTCTCCTTTCTGGCTGGGGCTGGAAAGGTAACTTACACTCTAAAACAAGAGCAGAACAGTTTCTTTGCTAAAAGGTTCAAAGGCAAGCTCAGGTGTGGCGTGCTGGTTGCTGCTGGGTCCAGTTAGGAGTTTACTGCACATAGACTTTTAACTGCTCTTTGCTGTCTGCCTTACAGAGGTTGCAGTCTCTGGGACTGGCTGGTATGCTTGTGTATCGTTTATTTCTACCCCAGTTTATCTCAAGCAATTATTTTTTAAAACTGTGCCATCTTAAGTGGATGCCCTCTATTTAAGGGAGCAAGCAGTCATGCAGCTGAAGAATGCAGTAAACTCTTAACCTGATTCAGCTGCAGCCAGACTGGCATGCCTGGTCACAGCCTGAAAAAGCCCCCTTTGCAGGTTTTTGGGGTTCATAAATTGGGCCACCCAGATGCATCCAGGGGCTGTGAGCAGGAGGCTGAGTGCACACATGGACTGTGGCTACACCTGGTACAGTACTTTGACCTTTGCACTCAGACCTGAAGAGGAGTTGCGTGTCAGTGGGGAAGGAGTTGTCTTTCATCTCATCTGAGACTGGTTACATATGTCTGCACCAAAGCTTAAGCTAATGAGCATGAGATCAGTATATTACTGTAATTCAAATATATAACGAAGCTGTCTCCATGGGGCTTTAACCTGATATGCCAGAGGGACTGCTACCATATCCATGGAGCTTTGACCAACCTGTAGATCTGGTCCAGTTCAGTGGAGAAGCAGAGAAGGGGATGCGTGGATGGGGACAGTAACTTGCTAAGGTTTTTGTGAAAAGCTTCCTGTTTTTCTTAGTCTACTCTATTACAAATGTAAACCCAAATGTGTGAGTTCTGTTGGTGTGGTTAACTATCACAGTTTGTCTGGTGATTAGCTACTGCAGATCAAAAAGTGCATTATATTAGAGGGTAGGTTTGCTTGATTTATGTGTCTAAGTCATCCTTGAACATGAAAGATGCTGATTAAAAGAAATTTTATGTGGGCTATAGTTAAAATTACATCTGCAGACCAACGTATATTGCTAAAATTTTTTTTCTTCAATCAAAATGGTGACACTGGAGCAAAAGAGTAGAAGAAATACGAAACAGCCCCATTTTTTGCATTGGTGACTGCATTGTGTTCAGTAACCTCTATAAATGGAAGCATTAATCCCAGCAGACATGCTTCTTCTATGTGGTCTAGGGAACAAAATTAGAACTTCTTATTTTCCTTTTCACCCACCTGGAAGCATTGTACGTGTAGAAAATGTATTAATTTGTTTTGGTAATGTGGAGCTTCTGATCCCAGGTGCAGACTGCTGTTTAACAACCCGACCCTTTTGGGGTGAATTTTTCTTCCTTTCAGCAGTCTTTTTTTTCTGTAGGAAATGTGCAAACACATGGGTGTTATAATTCATGCTCTTTTTTTGTTTGTAGATACCAGTATTACCTACAAGTGAAAAAGGATGTTCTTGATGGCCGATTAATTTCTTCATTTGAGCAGGGAATTCGACTGGCTGGCTTGGCAGTGCAAGGTAAGATGACATGACCTGAAAGCCTTTTTCCAACAATGGCTCTTTTGGTTTGTTGACTGGGCACTAACTAAGGCCTTGTATGACTCCTACTTACAACAGCTGGGTTTTCTATTGATTTAAAAGTGCATGGGTGGACTGCTGTTGATGAAACACACCCTCAGGGAGGGAATGATGGACCACATCACAGTGTTCAACTTTCCTATTTGTAAAATTCATGTAAGTGAATTTGAACAAAACTCCAATTCTTCCAACCCTAACCAAGAAGTACTTTGAAATAATGAATTTGCTTCACGTTCTCTGGTTTTAAATGCAAATTACATCAAAGAGCACAGCAGCAGCTTTAATTTTGCCTTTAATTAAAAACTCATTTTGCTGTATAGTGCTGTGTGAAGTATGAAAGAACACATAGCTATAATTGTTATGTGAGTTATAAATTAATAATAAACTACTTCTTACAACATGATTTTTACTCTGAGCCTCCTAAGGACATCAATAAAAGTGGGATCATATAATGTGGATGGGCAGAGGAAAAAGCCCTGTATTTGAATCAAGTATGTTTCAATCTTTCCAAAACTGACTATGAGAACCTAATGTAGAGTTTCAATGATCATGCTCTGTGCATGCTCTCTCTGAGTGTGAAGGGTGAAGTGTATACATAAATAGCAAACATGAAGATCTGATTCTGTAAATTAAAGGTTCAGTCAAGAATAAGGCTAATATGGTCTTTTTTAGAGCAGTAGAAATACCATTTTAGTATCTTATCTTGGTTAAAGATTTAAAGAAAAATGTTTCTTGTCAAATCTTGAAAAGTCTGATTAACAAAGGAAAATGTGTGTATAATTTTCCACATTGATGCTTTCAGTTTAGGTAAATCATGTGTGTGTGAGCTAGGTCTGAATAGATACTGAATATGTTTCACTGGTCCTGTGTTTTTGGAGCTTTTTTCTAATTTTGGGAGCAAGTCAATCCTATTTTTCCTGATGTTGTATTACTTCATTTGCCTTTTGCATGTGATGCAACTAAAGGTATTTGAAATACTTATTTCTTTTAAACCTACGTACCCATTTTGATTTCTTTCTGTTTATGTTAAAACATAGCTCTGAAGTAGAAACAAAATGAAACTGCATTTTTGGCATCCTGTGATATATGAAATTGTCTAGAAGCTTTGAAAGAAGGTTTAGATAATATGATTTATGTTGGGGATTTCCATCTTCTATAATATGAGAATCTTGTAGATGGCCTTTGATGCAGTTCAATTAATATAAAATAAAAACCTCCTGGCAAGATATTCTTTTGATATAAGCTGTTGTATATTTAACAGGTAGATAAATATAGGCATTGTTTTGGTTTTTTAATGTAACTTAGCCTTTAGGAAGCATTTTCAAAACTCCATGGTTTCAAGGACATTTAGACAAGAATCCTCAGCCTGACATACAAGTGAATGTGAGCATGGAGATGAATACCTGTTCAAGAGATGTAGGACAAGTAGAAGAGCGAGTAGAAAGGTGTACACCAGTCAGTTAAACCAACACAGTACCTGTACTGTTATGTTGGCTGCAGAAGGATAAACCCATCCCCATGTTGGTTGTTGACGATTTTTTAATAAAATTCACTCCTGGATTTTAACCTTATAGGCTGTAAAATTAAGCCTCTTTTGTACAACTGTGTAGAATTTTGGCACAGGTAGGTTAAATTTTGTTTATTTATTTTTGGCTGGTCGGGGCTGGAAATGTTGGAGAAGCAAAAAGGTTGCACCATTTTTAAAGAGCCTTAGCAATCCCAGCCTTTTTAAATAGGCGTGAGTTCAAGAAGGCTGCAGAAACTCTTGCACTCCTGATGGTTAAGCATTGCAAATGGTCATTATATTAGGGATCAAAAGAAAGAGATTACTTGTTGGCTGTTATTTGATCTAGGGTAGCAACACTACTATTTTCAGATCTCCCTGTTAAAAGCTGAAGTATAAGCAGAAATCTTATTACTGGGTTGTGGCTTCAGAGAGAATTCGCCCACTTGAAATTAAGCATCTTTGCAAGGTTGAGTGTGGTCTTAACATGTGTGGAAAGTGCCCAAATGAGTAATCGTGTTGTTTTTTCCAGCGGATTTTGGAGACTATAATCAGTTTGAATCTCATGACTTCCTCCGAGAATATGTGTTGTTTCCTATGGTGAGTTCCTTATCCCTCTCTTTTATGGTGTTTTATGAATAATTTCTCCATGCCTCAGAGATGACTTTGTTGATAACAGAGTAAAAGCACCAGCACTGAACTAATAGTAGTGGAAATAACTTTTCTCCGCAAAACCTGCAGTATCCATGATTGGAGCTGAATGATCCTATGCTATGGAAGGTCAACCCAATTTCAGTTCCTATTGAGCCTCCACTAGAAAGGCGTCAACAAAAGAAACATATGTCTTCAAATGAGAAAAGGAATTTGCAGCTATTTAAAAAGGTGTATATTAGCAGTACTATGGTATTAGTAACATGGCATATCAAGGGGAGATAAGGGCTGCTGATGTAGTAAATGTTGTGTCATAGAGCAAACGATGCAGCCTTTCCTCAAGAGAATGTGGATTTACATCAGCTGACTATTGGACTGAAGTGAAGCATGAATCAGGTCTTCTCAAAATGTTCTCTAGGGACTGTGCTGTAAATTTGGTTTAAATTTACATTGGAAACTACCAAATAACTTCAATGCTTAGGGAAGGAGTTTAAGTCACTAATGATGCTGGAAATTCAGTGACAAACATCAACCACTTGCAGTCCATGACATAGAGGCACACTGGGAGGATGGATTAGAGAAGAAAAAAAAAGCCCTGCTGAAGTTAAAGCTGACTTTGTCTTAGATGAACAACTCCATCAGCATGAGTTTTGAGTGTAAGCTTCATAAAACATAAAAGATCACAGAATTCTTTCTAACTGGAAAAAATATTTGGAAGCAGGGTGGGGTTCCCGTGTCCTGAGTTTAGCTGCCTGGAAGTTAAGGCATCTGGTTTCCCTCTGCAATTAGTGGAGCGGTAGAGGGAGAATGATTCATCTCACTGTAATTTGAAGGCCTGAGAAAGGCACTTCCAGAAACATTTCATCCCACTTACCAATGCTCTTTGTACAGGAACTGCAGTGGACAGTCCATTCTTAAGTCCAAAAAGCTGACATCTGCACAGTGTCCTGAAATGACAGTGCAATTTTGAGCCAGTAGACAGTTTAATACCACCTGAAAAAGTCAGCAGGAAGAAGGGTGATTAATGACTCTACAGAGATATGAATATGCTTTGTATAGAATACACATATAGAATGTGGCTTCAGTATTGACCTTTCACTAATAAACATGTGTTAGCCTGATAGTGGAGCAGGATTTCTCTGGTAAGCAAACTTATCTGTTGATAAGTAGTTGATGATCTTGTGTATAGTTGATGACTTAGAAAGTTGTGTATGAGAGCCTAAATGGGAAAGAAGATGGCTGCAAATATATACAGAGAAATATGTTGTCAGGGCATCACTTTGTAAATTACTGAACTTCTGCAAAGTTCTTTTAATATAGAATGAATCATAGAATGGTTTGGTTTGGAAGGGACCTTAAAGACCATCTACTTCCAACTCCCCTGCCATGGGCAGGGACACCTCACACTAGACCAGGTTGCTCAATGCACCGTCCAACCTGGCCTTGAACACTGCCAGGGATATACTGATACTATTTTTCTATTCTGGAAAAAAATTAAGAGATGCATTAGGTCTCTAGATGAGCTTTCAGCTGGATACTTTCTCTGTGATTCATCATTTTATGCTTGAGGCCCATCTCTTAGAACCTCTAATTTTGAGTCAGGTGCCTTCCTGCTGGTGTGATCAGCTCTCTGCTGTTTTGCACGTGCTTTGTGATATCTTGAGTTTCATCCCTGCTACTGTTACTAAATTTAAGAACATGGGCAAAGTGTCTGCTTCCTACAGCCTTCAGAAGCCTACTCTTAGATCAAGTGTTTTTCTAGGTATTTCTTTAGCTACTTGTCTTTGCTCTTCTGGGGAGGAGTAGATAACATAATAGTAAATATTTCAGTACAAGTTCAGTAACAGTTGCTAGGTGCTGCAGATACAAAGTAGTTCCTAAGCAAGTGGGAGGATTTGAGTGAATCCTGGGCATAGAAAAAGGACATAGAACAAGAATATTGCTATAAATTCATTAGTGAAGTGAGCTTGTGGATGAGGGAGGGGCAGCTATGTTTGTGCTGTTTGATCTTGTGAGGCTACAATGTGTGTCAAATGGCATTTCTTCAGCAGTGAAAAGAACAAAGTTATGTACACAGTACACCCCACAGGTGTGTAGCTGTGCATAGGCATGCACCATGCCATTTTTCATTAGCATGCTACCACTTTCACATTTTTTTGTGGCAGAAGCAAATATCAGAGGGGAGGGCCCCATTGAGCAAGAAGAGGTGTATTTAAGTGCATTACAGGCAGCCTTCAGGCTTTTTTAAATAAAAGTAAGAACTTTGAGGTGTTGCAAGAAAGCTTTCCAGCTTCCTTTTTCTGGCCTTGAATTTTTGAGCTGACTTCCTTTATTAACTTACTCCCAATTATTTCAGAATTGTTTCTACCGCACTTTATTAAATTTGCAGAATATAAAAATTGCTGCTCAGAAATGTCTTGCAAGCATAAAGTATGTTTTGTTGCATATTTGAAGAAGTAGCAAAACTTTCAATCCCTTTAATATGAGGGAGGGTAAAAAAATATTCTTGAATTCATTATCCATGATCTATGTATCATTTTGGACTGTTTTAAAAGATAAATAATAATTTTTAGATTTACAAGTGTTTTTAAAGACTACTTTGGCCCTTATCCAGGAAAAGATCCTTTATCTGTGCTCTATACTCTGTTCTCTATTTTGGAATAATAAACACCTTACCCCTATTTTTAACATTATTATTTTATGCTCCCAAAAAGGTTTAAAAAAATCACAACTCTTGTCTTCTCTTTGCATGTTTTCAGTATCCCATGCTCTGAATTTTCAATGTGATTGGGGATAGGTTCTCTTTCTGTAACTACCTAGGAGAGCATGAACTGTACACAATCTCAAAATACCTACTGTCATAATTTCTGTGTACTTTCTGTGTACTATTTTGTCCCCTTTCCCTTTGGTTGATTAGTTTTTGATGCAACTTCATGTTCCTACAGGATTGGGCCCAGGATGAAGCTGCCTTGGAGGAACTGACTCAAAAGGTTGCTCAGGAGCACCGAACTCACAGGTGAGCTTGACATGTCAAAGTTCAGGTTCTCTCTTTTTTTTTTTTTAATTCTTATCATCCCTGTAGTACTTCCCTGCCTCGCCCATGCATTGCTGGCAGTGTTTAACTAGCCTAAATTCATGTTACTGTTATTCTTCGTCTCACTGGATTTTGAATTAATCTATCACAAAAGAGTATCTGCCTCTTGTAAATGCAAAATGGCTGAGGAACTTCATCCCAAATAAATGAGCTTTCACACCCTCAGGTTTAATGAGCGTCTGTAACACTACTTGTTATGTATATGTTATAGATTACTTGTTATCTATGTTATAGGCTCCTTTCTCTTTTTGATTTCATTTAAATCCTGATGGTGAAAGACCCTGTAATTTGATCAGGGGTGATCTGGGGGTCTCTTTCAAGAGGGGTGGGGATGCACATGCTCCCAGTGTAATGGAAATGAAAATAATAGGAATTGGGGTTTAAGTCTCATGGAGAAGACACAGTATAGTGTTACTAGTTAATGAGCTAGGAATGTGTGCATTAGTCCTTCAGTAAGAAAACCTTCTTTGTGAGCAGGCTTCTTTCATATTGTCCAGGTGTTTTGGTGGTGGAAGTATCCAAGCCTCTAGAGTGCTGTTCTGGGAAAAATGGCAGTGCCCATATGTCATATGCAATAGGAATGTTATCTGAAGGATGCGACATTGCCCACTGCATGAGAGAAAGTGGGTGTGAAAAGACGAATACCAATCTCTGAGTCTTAGGCCATTCTCAGTCTGAGCTTCAATGCGAGCCTTGGCCTTTGATGCAACCAAAGGGAGAGCTTCCAAGCTGGCTGTGAACAGGCCTGGTTCTGTTCTCGTTCTACCATGGGCTGCTTCTGTGATCTCGGTTAACTCAGAGATTTGAAAGGAAGGATTTCCTACCTGCCGTGCTCTTTAGTATTATTTCTGCAACACAAAGAAATACTTCCCCTCACTTCAGCAGGTAGATCATATTTTACCTCCTTTCTCTCAAGTATTTATCTGGGCTCTATATTTCTATTTGTAAGCTGTGGTAAGGAGTGGCAAAGAGGAGAAAAATTAATAGTGGCCTTCTTTTGGAGTAAGGTCTTTAAACCTGCAATCTATTCTGACCTGCTTTTGAGAATTGAAATCTGTCTGAATTCCTGAGCTGTGACAGGAACATGTGTAGACATGTGCGTAAAACTTTTCAGCTGGTTTGTTCTCTCCTGCAAAAGAGAATCTGTTTAACTTTTGGATTTAGTGCCTGTGTTTTTGAACAGCCAACTTGAAAATGTATGTCTTTCCTTTTAAGTCATTTTGAGAAACTCCAGTGGCCTTATATACTATTCAAGCAAATTAGGACGCCTATGGCTCAAATCAACCATCCAAAACTACCCACAACCTGATGCAATGACCTGATAAAGCCTGGAAAAGATTTGAAGTGTACAGAAGAAGCTGAGTAATGGGATCAGTTCAGTTTGTTCCTCCTGTAATTTGGACTGTGCTTTGTACCTTACCTCAGTGACATTTAGTAAAATTTCCTCCCTTGCTGATTATGATCATAGTGCTGAAAGTTAGTTTTGTGTTGTGCATTTCTATGCAGCATCTCCAAAGTGTCTTCTCAAGTGGTTTGTGAAACTCCCATTTTTTCACTAGTATTTTTTTATGTGTGTGTGATATTGAACTATTTGCTCCTTTTTGTTAATCTAATTGCAGTGGCATTACAGCAGCAGAGGCTGAGTTAATGTACATCAATGAAGTGGAACGTCTGGATGGGTTTGGACAGGAAATTTTTCCTGTGAAGGTATGTTAGTGTATATTATAAAGGAACCTCTGAATCAAATAATACAGAACTCTGCAGCCTGGCCTTATAGAGCACATGGTGCCGTGATAAAATTGTGCTGAGAAACTGAAAACTGCTGTTCCCAACATGACCTGTTTCTCTTAGTGAATCAACCCAGCCACTGTGTGGTGAACTGTGAGTGGTTTTTCTACTAGTTAAAGATAACTAGGAATTTAAAAATAAGCACAGCCATACACCTAGCAAAACAAGTTTTCTGCTGAAGTCAAAATTGATCCTTTGGCACCAGTCTAAGAATTGGCCTGAAAGGCAGAAGCTGAAAGGCTAAAAAACTTCAACCCAACAACAAAAATTTTGGAATGTTTATTACCAATGAGTGAAATCAATGTTTTCCTTAAATTAATTTGGAATAATGCTGCACTCTACTGCAAAAGACATTTCTGTGTTGGACACGTCATTAGATATTACTGCATGTCAGTAAGGTAAGTATAAACAGTATACTGGGTGCTCTGCCAAATTGTGGGAAGGTGTATCAAAGAGCAGCATGCTGGCCTTGGAGACAAATAAAACTGCATTCAAAGGGAAAAATGAAAGATTTCTCTTTTTTACCTAGTGGAAAATGCTATTAGAAAGACGTTTCTCTTTTTTTCTATATAGGTATTTGTGTACACACACACACACGTATTTATATGTGTATAAATACATACATTTTCCCCAACATCTTCCGGATCTTTTTACCTTCTAAAGCTGCCTCTGGCAAAAAGGCAGAAGAACGCATTGCCCTCTAATCAGACTAAACTGAAGACTCTGCTATCTTACGGAAGAAGCTGGCATATTCAGCATGGAAAGTCAGCGCATAAGCTGGGGCTTGAAAATTGGCATCCATTCTTTGTTTGCAGAAGGCCTAAGACTTAGTAGTTACAAACAGGTGCAGATACTTTATCGTTGCCTTCTGAGGATCAAGTAGAGCAAGGCCAGGAGAACAGCTGTAGTCTGATCTGTTAAAATGCAGGGACATCTGATGGTTTCTACTGCATGTGCATGCATAGTGCATGAACTTCACTCATATTCTTTCTTCTAGCAGTTCTTTAACCACACTCTTTGTGTTAGCATGATTTCTATTTACCTCTTTAAAGTGTGAATCAATTACTATATATGCAGCTTAGGGGGAGCTATTTTTGTTGATAAATGTAGAAAAACCTCTTTGTCAGCAGTAATAAACTTTTTTAAGAAAACTGATTGCAAAATGGAACAGGAGCACGTAGATTTCAAACAGGAGCCCACAAGGAGATGTGTGGGACTAGGAGGCAAATAGGACTTCTAAGGTCTACTGTTCTTGCATTGGTTTTATGCAGTGTATGCAGCTGAATATTTAACCCAACAACTGACAGTCAATTGAGGATGTATCTGTATAGAGATACAAGTACTTTTTAGGGTGACACACTGTGACCTTCTGTACATAGTACTTAAAGGAGGAAGCATGAAGGGTAGAGCTTTTGAGAGGGATTCCATCTCCAGGTGTGGTGTTCTGAAATCTCTACATGTTTTAACAGGTGACTGGAGAAATACTATGAATGTGAAAGGACTGTTGCTTTTGGTATTCACAGGGGCTCTAGACAGCTATAATCACAATGGTAGGGGATGTTGGGTGTTATACAATGAATGCCAGTTTGTGGTCTGCCTGGTGTTTGATAGAGAAGAACCTTGAGCTCATTTAGCCTTGTTCTGTTTTTGCTAATCAACAGAGTGAATCCACTGAAGTGCTAACTGCTTTGAAATAATGAAAATCAGAGTCCAATCAAACAGCAACATATATGTTAGTCAAGGGTTAGTCCTGCATTCATACTGCAGAAGGGCTTCTCTTTGGTAGTTCAGCATGCATTCCTATATATAAATATGTGTGTATATATATATATATACATATATCGACCAGTTTCTTTATTAAACTAAATATATTATGCTTTCTCTGCAGGATAACCATGGAAATGACATACACCTTGGTATTTTCTTCATGGGAATCTTCATAAAAAACAGAAATGGCAGGACAACTGTGATTTATAGGTAAAAACTAGGGTCTTCTGTATTTAAAACAGTTTCTTTCCAGAGCCCAATGTGTGGGACTTTTTCCTGACTTACATATGTGACTTCAGTAGTGCCAATCCTCTAACTGAGTAGTCATTTGCTGTTTTCAGGATTGGTCTCTTGGTCATTAGAGATGAGATAAAGAACAATTTCTGATATCTGTGAATGGGTTTGATGGCAAGAAAGTTGTAGTTACCTGTCATGTATCTTGTTCTACTTTACAAGGCTTTGATTCCTTTTTTTTTCTTGTCTTTATGTCTACTTCTTTGGTGCTTCTGAACGCAAATCTGTCAAACCTCAGAGTTGGCAACCCAGGAGCTCAATGTTTCTGGAAATATGGTTGCCATATTTAGGTGCTCCGCTGAAAAAAAGTTGAACTTTCTCATTCTGTAATTTTGAAAGTCCTGGCTGTGTCACTCTTCTGTGGTTTATATTGATCATTAAGAATCACTTAAGTCTTTCCATTGACTTTCTTGTGTGGTTTTGTTCTGTATGAAAATGTTGCTAGAAATCTCCATGATGCCAGGGAGGATAGTTTCACTCTTCTTTACTACTGTTCTGGTGGGTATTTTCATTACAGTTGCTGTTTACTTAAGTGGATTATTTTGTGCAGCCAAAGAATTTGTGTTTTTTGAGATGCACTGATTTTCGGTCAGTAGCTAAGGCTTGTATCAGACTTAAGCTGGAATGCTGGGTTTGGGTGTTTTGTTTTCCTTAAAAAGGCTTTTAGTAGTCAGCTTAAAAAATATTAGGACTCCCTTTTCCACATAGCTGATGCTTTGCATATTTAATTTCTAGAAGAAATCAGATAATCCTTTCACTGGGCCAGGTGACAAAAGCAAGAAGTTTCTTTACATGTAAAAATTATAGTTGGTGCTGGGATTCTTACTCTTTGGAAATATGCACTTCAAGCATCCTGCCATGACTTGAAGAGGAATGCATGCTGCAAACAGAACAAACAAGTCCTTTCCATCCCCGTGGATTGCATGCAATGTACGCAAATGTCTGTCAGCTATTTGTAAGAAGATTATAACTCTGATCTTGGGCAACCTGACAATTACTTGGGGAAAAAAAAAAAAAAAAAAGATTGCAAACATAAAACCAGAGTATTAACATGGTATGCATAGCCTACATAACCATGTTGTCAACTTAACCTTCTTTAGCAAGAATTGGCACTTAATGAAAGTTGGAAACAAGCATTTGGAGAGGAATGGTGGAGAGGAATGGCACTTAAAAAAATAATTCTATTACATGCGGCTAAAATCAATTGTTAAAAAATGCCACAGTTCAGGAAAATGTTTATCATTAATGTGTTTTCAATGTGTCTTCTATTGTGAGTCTTCTTTTAACTCTCCTGCTTTGGGTTCGTAGCTGAATATCCTTTCATTTTTAATCAGAACATGACTTCCTTATTTTCCTGACCATGTTTCTTCACCAAACAGCTACTGAAAAGCTTTTCCCATAAAACGAGACTGATGTTGACTAAGGGATTCCTAATGTGTTTGTGAAATGTTTGAATGTATGTGTTGGCAAACTATACTGCTTTTTTTTACTCTACAGGTGGAATGACATTGGGAATATAACACATAACAAGTCTTCGATTGTTCTAGAGTTGATCAACGAAGAGAATGTACTCTTTCACACAGTAAGAAAAAGATCTGATCAGTATCATCAAGAAAGCTACTTATGTAAAAATAAACCTTTAAAATTCCACTTTCCCAGAGAGGCTCACTTGCATAACAGCATACCCCTTACAGTTCACATTTTACTTTATGCAGAGTGTGAGATTAACTTCATTTACATAACAATATGTGTATTCTATTCCAAGCATCCTGATATATCGTATGCTGGGAAGTCTGCAAAGAACTGAAGTACTTTTTGGATGGCATAAGTACAGCAGCATAAGCAGTTGTAGAAACTGGGCATAGGGCACCATGTGTGCACATACGGGAACTCGGAGGGCTGTGCTGCTGTTCTGTGCTATTTCAAATACTCCTTTTATATACTTTATAATACTTTTCACATTTCCCTGAACCAAGGCCAGTATAGAAACTGGCCCAGCAAGCTTGAGCCATTTTTTTGTTGTTGTCCCTCCTACTGTGACATAGCAGTGAAGTGGCAGCATGTAAAGGCACGCCACTGTATTTCAGTAATCCAATGCCTTGAATGCTCTTGAGGGCACCAGACAAGTTCTTGGCAGCCACATCCTGTACATGGTGGACCTTACCAAGCATTCCTGAAATTGGATTTTTTAAACTCTTCTTTGTCACTTCTTGGTAAGAATAACAAAATAAATGGGTCTTTTCCCCCCTATTTTTTTTTCTTGTCTTTAAAGGACGATCTTGAAAATGCCAAATATATTTCACGTCTGTTTGCGTCAAGACACAAGTTTTACAAACAGAACAAAATCTGCACAGAGTGAGTATTCACTTCAGAGTTGTTCCCTGACACCCTGCTTTGGAATTGGTCTGAGTTTTGGCATGTCTGGTTTTATTTGGTTTTGTTGTTTTTTGGGTTTTATTTCCTAGTCACTTGTGTTAGTTATTCTTGTCCCCTTTCCCTTTTTTTCTTACTTTGTTTTAACCAATAGCAAGAACAGACAATTTGAGGGTGAAATTTCATTCTGAGCCTTGTGAGGCTTTGATGCTCCCCAAGCAGCCAAATCTTAGAGACAATCTTGAGTTGAAGGCCTTGGTCTCTGCTGTTTATAACTCAGAGTATTAGTATAAACTGTAGTGAAAGGTGACATATGTTATCAGGTCAAAATGTGAGTTGCAGTAGTAAATGCACTGCTTATCTAGCAGTTAAGGACAGTGGAAAGGTTGTCATCTTCTAATTTGGGCAGTATAATTTATCTGCCTCTTCTGTGTTCCAAGAAAAGGAGGACACCTGGGCATGTTAATCTGTGTAGCTGTACTAGCACAACGCAGCAGAGATTGTAAATCTAAACGTGAAATCTCCCTTAGGCTCTACTTTGAGCACTTTCTGAGGAACTGGCCTCGAGCTAGTCCTCTTACATGGGTGGAGTCTGAAGGAGGAATTCATTAGGCTTTAGCTTTAAGTCAAATATCTGTTTGTTAGCTGTTTCATTTACACCGGCACACATTTTTTCAGACTGAGATAAATTTAAATTTCAAAAGGTTAGAGTTTTGAGAAGTTTGCATGATGTGCTGAGTGTGTATAGCACAGAACATTAAATTCTTGCAAAACTTATCATCTTAGTTAGCTGGAAAGATATGAAGAACTCTCATTTCTATCAACAACTCTAGTTAGACCTGGACTTCCCATCTGTTCGGCTGGGTAATGCCATCTGTTGGAATATAAAGCCAACATGATGAAGAGAAGATTGGAAGGTCTAGCTTTCTAATATTACGTGTGCACACATTATATTAACATATGGTGAGTTAGCGCATAGGAGAGTCCAATGAGGTGAATTGTTTTGAGTGATCTTTTCACTTACAGAAAAGAGATGTTGATTAGAGTTCACATGGTGCTTACAGTTCTTGGGAGGTGAGTGGAAGACCAGAAAAGATATCTCTTAGCAGCATATAATGGATTTCAGTAGCCCAATACTAAATTCAATTTTAATGGTTCCAAAGAGATTGAATTCAAAGGATGCTCCTGATCGTCTCCCGTGTGACAGTCAAGAAAGAAAACAAAATAACATACTCTGTCATCTTGGGATACTTCCCCTTTGAAGTTGTATATTGGGGTAAACAGGGAGAACTATTCTTTTACCAATCATAATACAGACTGCAGAAACTATAGCTTTTGAACATGATTCTTTCTAAACACTGAGCCCTAAGTATATGGGTACAATGGACTGGGTGTATGTAGCAGCTTCATATGCAACTTGCAAACTAATGAAGATAAGGAATGTTGCAAGGTCACTGAGTGAAATAACCAGAATTTAAATGTATTTCTGTCATTAGAGCTGCTCTCCTTACCAGAGTCTCATGTGATATAAGCTTCGGTGTTAGAGCCACAGATACTGATGACAGCATATGGCAATGTGTGTTTTCTAGCCAAATAATTTTCCTGCCCTCTGTGTTAAAATGAGTTGTTTGTTTTCCTGTGTGCCTTTCCTCTAATTGCACATAACATCATTCACCAGATCAGAAACTGTAAGAGGACAAATTCCACCTTTCCTCTCTTCACGTAAGCACTGTATTTCTACCTCCTTCAATTTGTTTCTTTCCCTTCCTCGTATTTTTTTATCTCCTACACTCCTTGTTCCTTCCACTGCACCTGACTACTCTAACATTGTACATGGCTCTGCTAGTATTGTCTAAAAGTTGCTTTTTCTTTTCTTCCTGATCTGTGTGCATTGCTCTTGAGTGATTGCTATGAATTTCATAAAATTGTCATTGTTTTAGATGTTCACCTTAAGTCATCTGAGACTGCCTGTGTGCCATGTTCAGTTTTTATTGCTTAAGAGACTTGTTTGTTAAATTCTACTTTGAAAGATGAATCATTCTTTCTTTTGTTTCCAAGTAAGCCAAATAGGATAATGAACAGAAGGCATGTGTAGTTTGGAACTGGAATTTAGAGAACCTGTATTTAGAGAAGAACCTGAATTATTTTAATTTATTCATGTATCTAAAATATCTAAAAATATTAATGAGCAATACTTACAGATTGTTCATGTCTTGTTTTACCCATTTATTCTTGACTCAGAATGGAAATGTTGTAGTTTCTATTATTTCTTTTTCTTCCACAGACAATCAAATTCTCCTCCCCCTATCCGACGACGGCCCACCTGGAGTAGGTCCTCTTTGGTATGTGGCACAGTGAGACCTTTCAGCATGTCTGTATAATTTCTGATGGGATGAGGCATTAATTGTGTAAGATGAAATACTTTCTAAATTTCAAATAAGCACATTAGCTCACTTCTTTTAGGCAATATGATTGGAATGAGTTTCAAGGGTGTGGCTGCCCAGGTTGATTAGTTTAACTGGATAATATCACCACCGAGTATTTAAAATTACAGTCTTCAAGGCGTTATATTTTTATTTGCCCTGCAGAAACTGAGCATCTTTTCTACTGGATTGAGGTTATTTCAATATGTAGATATCCTCTAGAAAGAATTTGAAGTGTCTTGTGCTGTATGCATTAAGACCTAGTCCTTACATAATGTTACATTTCACATTTTTTCAATTCCTCATGTTTTTGTGTAAAGACTACTTACAATTTACCAGCTTCGTAGGTTAGGAGCCTATTTTCTGTGTGAAGTTACTGTTAAGTTAAACTAATATATAGTCAGTAAGAATTGGAATTCAGAGATTTTCTTACATTGTATTTATTTCCATTTAACTGATCTCCAGCAAAACTAGAAATCTGACAAAATTGGGTAACTTTTTCGTGAAATCTTTACCAAAAAAATCACATGGGAGTCTCTCTTTTTCCCACAATTGGTTCTAAAAATACTTTTTTTTTAAAGTTAAATTTTAACATCTAGTGTGTCAGTATTTCTCACCCTTATTTAACAGATTGTGAGTTTCTGTAACAGCAGCACTGATGGTTCCTTAGAAAGAGGGCAATATTATCTCTATGCAGGTTGCCAGTTTTCATGTGTGATATAGGTTATACCTGCTTTGTAGACCTTTCCAGAGTGAAAACTCTGTTAGCCCATTGCTGCATAGCAGAAAGCTCGTGCAGGCAGAAGTGTTTTCTTGACATATCCCCACAGCGTGGTTACAGCTGATGAAAATGTTCCAAAATTAAGAGGGTAATGATATTAGAATGGCTTTATCATTGCAGACTGCAACACAAGTTATTTTCCTGTGTGCATATATACAGTCCATTAGATCTAAAAGGTGTATTCTGTGTTTCACAGGCACTGGCAGGAAAGGTGTGGTAGCTGTCTCCATATTTCTTTGTCCTTTCATTCTTAGTGTGCTTCTAAGGTGTCTTGATGTGATACACAAGCTATTTATTGTGTTCTCAGCAGCATATTTACAGTATTCTTGGTATCTACTAGCTTGGTCCCTGAAAATGACTAGGAAAAACTGAAGGAAATGTGCTTTGCATTATTATGGTGTGGCCTCGGATATATCATAAGGGGAAAAAGTGAGCTGCTTTCTATGTTATGTATGAAAAATTGAAATCTGCTTCAAATCCTGCTGCCACTTTGTTTTGAACATAAGCATGCAACAAGTTAAAAAACCTGAAGTCTCAGGAAGATCAAAAGGAGGAATGTGGGCTCTTCAATTGAAAAATGAATTGGGCTGCTGCCTGCTCACAATGAACTTTCAACCGCCTTTTTCATAATTGTTCTATCAACTTGTTGGAACAGTTCTCTTTAGGAGGGGGAAAAAAAAGCCCTCCTGACTGTTGACTGCTCTGTACATACCTTCATACACCTACCTATTCATTTGTCTTGTATGGCAATAAATCAGTAGGCAGAAATGGGAAGTGAAGTAGAATCTTTGAGGTGAGGCACTGCCACTTCAGTAGGAGTCACGTTCATTACTTTCAGATTAAGGCCCTTTTTATGGTTTTGGCATCATGCTGAACCTGTGTTTTTTTAACTACTACTTTGGAATCATTTTTCGGTGTTTTTTTTTTTTTCTGTCAGGCCACCCAGTGATGCTGGTTTTCCAGCAAAATTCCCTCTGTATAGGAGATTTTAATATGATGGTATGTTTAATTACCTGATTTTTAAAAAAATCCAAGTTATCCTTAATTTGGATATTGACATTCTGCAGACCTTAGCGTTCTTCTCTTTTATCAGAAGAGGCAGATGGGCCTTAAAAACAAATTCCCCAATTTCTTGCAGATACCTTTCATAACATCTATCACAAAGAAAACTGCTTCAGATGTATACATGCCTAGTAGAGGTCACTTCTCTTTCCTTGCACTTTTCCTTTACCCTCCATTTGTTAGGTTTTCCAACATCTTGGTTAGTCCCAGACTCAGCTCCTCTACTAAGGTTGTCAACAGCAGGCTCCTTGGCCCATATTGTTCAGCAAGAGTAAGGTTTTATACTCTTGGAAATAATTTTTGTAGCAGAAATATTGTCGTTTTCCAGTCTGGCTTAACAGAGTGATTTTTTTATGCAAAGATTCGTATGTGAGCTCAGTATCTTTGATTCTCATTCCTTCTCAACATTTACATAGAAAATGTAAATTTAACCTCTTCCCCACCCCCTTTTCACTAGCAAACTTGCATGGTGCTCATTTGGTGTGCATGCACACAAACGTAGATAGTTTGGTGAGGCTTTTTGCCGTGGGCATTCACAGTGTTCCTTAATAGCTTGAACTACTTGAATCAGCCTGTATAAAAAGCACTTATTCTACTGTTAAGGAAGACACATTCATGAGATAGCAGTGTCTTCCTTCTCCTTCTGCTTACTCCATAAATTGAAATATGTTTTTGTAAACTTTGCTCAGTGACACCAGGCAGGACATTGCAGTGCGGGTGGCAAAATGCGATTGCAAAACACTTTGGTTGGACAAAGCTGGTGAATATGGCATCAGCTGTGATTTATTTTTCTGCAAATGGTTCTGTTGATTTAATGCTGAATCGCACCCTCTGAGACTTAAAAAACTTGTTACACTGCAGATTATTGGCAGAACACTTTAATTCATTAGCTAGGGGATCTGATGTTCATGTAATTTGCAGAGCTGTTTTAAGTCCATATGTGGTCCAATTGCTTGTATAATAGTGTTCTAGGTCCCTGAATTTGTTCCGTCTCCTGCTTTTGTCCTGATTAGGTGTCTGCCTTGTTTGGGTTTAATTCTTCAAGGGTAAGAAGAATTTTAATAAAAGTTTGAAAAACTTTAAAAGAGCTGAAAGTGAGGATGCTATTTTTTGAAGTGGTTGAGCTTAAAGGAGTCTTCACTGGTCAGCTTTGGGCTCTGAAACAAAATTTAGCAAGCCATTTACAAAAATTTATTCTCTGTTCTGTAAAGAACTGCCAAGCCACATGTCTTTGGCTGGGTAAGAAAGAGCAGTATTCAGTGGAAAAGGCATAGGACCGGTTTTCCTGTTTTCGTTGCAGACATGGTAGCAAATGAAGTTCTAATACTACTTCTTTTTTTTTTTTTTTTCTCTTTGTGCTTTTATTTCAGCCAAGACAACATCCTTTTATACTGCCTCCTATGCATGTCCAGTGTGGAGAACACTACACTGAAACACATAATTCACAAGGTACTTAGAGCATATATTTTTCTTTTAATGGACTTCAATTTTATGTGTATGCAGAGAAGCTCCTAACCCTTATGTCTAGATTTACAATGCCATCGTGATCAAATGGGAGCTGCTGCTGCAGGAGAACAAGCAGTTTTACAGTTAATGATGCAGTAAGTCTTCTGCTTAAAGCCCAATTTCAGTTTTCAAATTTCTCTATAATATCTGTGCATGATTATATGGACCTTAAACTTGGTATTCCAGCTCAGTGAGCTGAAAAAATAATTTCTAAAGGGAGTATGATGACTGTACTCAAAGGCAGTGCCAGCTGGGGCCAGGGAGAGAAACCAAGTGAGGGAAAAGGATAAAGCAAATTATCTTTTACTGTAGGAGAAATCATATCATCCTGTCCATGAAACTGTATTTTTAGATAATCTTTTCTGCCTGCATTGTTGACCTCATGGATGTAAGGAGGGTTAACTGTTTTTATGCCCATGTGTGACAAATAAATTCTTTAAGAGATTGTACCAGGTTACTTTGATCAAGTCTGGGAGTGGAGCCCAGTCCCTAAACAACTTGAGCCTCACACCCCTAACTACCTCAGCTTCTGGAATATGCATAGCCAGGTCTGTTAGGTTAATGTTCTTTGCAGCTCATGAGAGCAACAACTGAAGTGCTCTCACCAGCAGAGAAAGTCTCTGTCATACCTCATAGTGTTTTGCAGTTGTGGTGGTCTGACTAATTTTAAGGTAGAATTTGATAAGTTTTAAGAGGAGACATTCACTGTAGTTCCTTGCATACAGGTACTTGATTTAAACTATTGTTTACTTTGAAGATGAGGCTCTGAAGGATATTCTCAATTTTAGAAGAATTGCCAAGTTCCCTTCATTTTATCACAGACTTTGCTATACTGTCAGACAACTATATGATTTCAGAGTTTGAGGAACTGTTACAAGATTTTCAACATGGACAGTCTTGCAGTAAAGTTGTGATCCAGGATATGGTCTTTACTATTTAATTTCCTCACAAATACACTTTGCTGAAGTATTTCATATTCTGTAGTGCATCTGTAGGGTGGTTTGCTGTTTGGTTTAGTTTTGGAGGGTTTTTTTGGTTGGTTTTTTTTTTGGTTTGGTTTGGTTGGTTTTCTTTCCCCCCCAAGCTTTTGATTACTCAACTGTGTCATACTTCAGATCCTCAAAACTGTTGACTGATCAGAAGTAGGATTTCCAATTCCGCAGTCCTCTGCTACTTTGAATCACAGACAGCAGTGTATCAACAGAAAAGATAAAGAGAACTTTTTAGGTTAACCATATGCTAGCAGCACTGGATTTTTAAGGTGTCAGCAGCAGTGAACCCTTCCAGGATGCTGAGGGAGGAGATGCCCCTTTATTCTTCTTTGCCACCTCAGGCAAAAACGCTTCCTCTCTTTCCCCTTTCATGTCTCCCGCAAGGATCTGCACTACTATATTTTGCTGTTGGGAGGTTTACCTTAGTAGCTTTGATTTAGTTATATTTCAGTGACTCAAGACCACATGCTCCCTACACTTGTACACTAAGCTGTCTCTGTATTCATTGGTGCAGACTGCATTTGAGGTTTTGTTAAGATTGAATGAGCCCTTGTATTTTAAAATAGTCAATGTTTCTATCTCTGCTCTACACAGATAGCATTTTCCATGGAAATGAAGAAACTTTCTACTGTAGGTCTCAGACCAGTTTGGATAGGTGTCCAATGGACTTCAGCTACTTGAATGGTAATGGACCCAATGGGAGCGTATGCAGTGCCCACAGCATGAACTCCCTCAATCGCTCACAGAACTTCATCCAGGCGTCTCCAATGTCCTCAAATCTGAGCATCCCTGGAAGCGACATCATGAGAGCAGACTATATCCCCAGCCACAGACATAGTGCAATCATAGTACCATCTTACCGGCCAACTCCAGATTATGAAACTGTCATGAGGCAAAAGAAGAGGGGGGTGATCCAGATGGATAGCCAAAGTCAGTCTTTGAGGAATCTCAATATTGGAAACACACATGCTTATAACCAGCCGGAAGACCTAGTTTACAGTCAGCCTGAGATTCGAGAGAGACATCCTTACACAATTACATACGGTCCCCAGGGTGGTGGCTATAACAAGCCTGTTGCCCCATCTGAACAAATGAACCCTAATAATGCTGCTCAAAATAAGACAGCAGCCAGTGCCATATCCCACACTGTCAGCACCCCAGAACTGGCCAACATGCAGCTGCAGAGCAGCCAGAGTTATAACACCGCTCACATGTTAAAGAACTATCTCTTCAGACCCCCACCTCCTTACCCGCGCCCACGTCCTGCCACGAGCACACCAGACCTGGCAAGCCACCGGCACAAGTATGTCAGTGGGAGCAGTCCTGACCTGGTCACTCGTAAAGTCCAGCTCTCAGTAAAAACCTTCCAAGAGGACAGCTCGCCGGTCGTCCGCCAGTCACTGCAGGAGGTCAGCGAGCCCCTCATGGCAGTGAAGCACCATGCGGCGGTGAACAAGCGCCACAGTTTGGAGGTCATCAGCAACATGGTGCGTGGTATAGAAGCCATGGCGTTAAAAACTTTGAACGCCCCCCTGCCACGCAGGAACACTTTGCGGGAGCAGGTGCAGCCGGAAGAATCGGTTCAGATGGGGCACGAAGTTCAGCAAGTTCCTCATTATCATCACAAAAAGACGTTTTCTGATGCCACGATGCTGATACACAGCAGTGAAAGTGAAGACGAAGAAGAAACCCAAGAATCTGTGTCACGGATAACAGCCCTCCATGAGAACATGGAGTACAGTGCCCAGCTGCAAGCTGCCTTGGCTAGAATACCAAATAAACCTCCTCCAGAGTATCCTGGGCCTCGTAAAAGTGTCAGCAATGGAGCCCTGAGGCAGGACCACGTTAGCATTTCTGTGGCTGTAGCCAGGGCCAAGGCCATGAGGCCGGGGCCTTCCAAAGCCATCAGTGTGTCTCGAACTGATCAAGTGGCAATAAATGGGTCGTCGCTTGGGCCCTCTATCTCAGAGCCAGACCTCACCAGTGTGAAGGAGCGGGTCAAGAAAGAACCAGTCAAGGAAAGGCCTGTGTCTGAAATGTTTTCAATTGAGGACAGCATTATAGAAAGAGAAATCATGATGAGGGTAAGTGCCTTCCTCTGTTGCGGTGGCTTCTTGGAAATTAGTAATCACACAGGTCAATTTCCATACCAGAAAACTGTTGGGTAGGTAAACTGTGGGGAACGTGTGGGTGGAAAGTTGTGGATTTGCTTATAGTTGGGAAATGTGATATTAAGTGCAAGGTACAATTTGGTTTTGTGGGTCTGTATGGCCACCAAAGGGGCTGATCCCATGCACTGCTGTTGGGCTTGTCTGTTTCTTCAGCTGTGGCTCTTTGGCTGCTGGCCAGATCTGTGTCTGACCCAGCTGAGGATGCCACCACCCTCGCAGCAGTGCCAGCTTGAGGTGGATGGCAGGGCATGGAGCTGGTGGTGAGGGGGCTGACGGCAAAGCCCCCCTTTATGCCTGCTCCCCTTCTGCCTGCATGCCTTTCCAGCCCCGGTGGATTTGAGGGCAGGGAGAGTCTGAAATGTGTTTGCTGAGATGGGTGGGAGGGTTTGTTTCAGTGCTAGCATTTCATTCCTCCTTTGCAAGGATGTCGAGTTAAGTATCACATAACATAGTGGGAACTCTTGATTTTTTTTTTTTTTAAATGACCTTTAATTCCTTTCCTGCCACTTTATGTAACATAGTTATCTAAATAAAACCCTGGTAGCTCTAGGATATGGATTGCTGGTTTTGCCAGTAACCGAGGAACCGGAAATCTAAATACAGAAGCAGCAGATGTAGAGGCTGTGTAGTTGATCATCTGGACTGTTTATTTTTTAAAAAATGCATTCAAGTATGAGAAATAGGGCTCTGTTAAAATTGCAATGAATTTAAAATAAAAAGTATTTAAAGGTTTCAGTGCCCCTGTGAGCAATGACAGAAATATGAGAGGTGCTTATCACTTAGTAATTTACACATGTATTTGATGTAGTGCTGTGGAGGAGTACAACTGCAGTTACAGAAAGAAAAGTGTATGCTGTAGTTCTTATTTTCAGAATTGAGGTCTGAAACAAATTAATAAAGTATCTAAATGGTCTAGAGCAGAAAAGAGTTTGTAATGTATTCGATCAATAACTAGTTAGATTCAAAATACTACTATATATTCAAAGAAATTTTCTAAACATATTCATTGTTGTTCTTGTTTGTTGGGGATCCTTACTCTGATGTAATTGTTAGGAATCAAATCTGAGCTACTAAGTTGCAACATGGAGACTGAATTTACTCCTTGCTGACTCCTAAACTCTAAACCTAAAATAGATACTTGACTATAAAACATGACTTTTTGTAAATTAATAGACATTGGTATAGCAATGAATATATATATGTGTGCTTTTTGATCTTCTGAGGAAAGAAAAAATATTGAAATGCAGGAACCTACAGGATTGTATGATGGAAATAAAGGTGAGAAGAGAGCTTAGATGTTGTTTGAATATTCTTCTTCTGCAATAACCATTCAGATGCTTTGGTCAAAAGGTGCTTTTTTGTTTTTATTTTGAAAGTCAAAGTGGTAGTCTTAGCATTAGGCTTTTAAGGTGGTTGCAGCCTAGATGAGGAATCTTAACATGCGCAGACTTTCCTTTTGTCATGGGAATCAGGTGTTATATCAATGGTAATTTGATGACCTTGATCTGTGAAATGCAGATTTTTTTCTCTTTCACCTTTGAAGTAGTAAAAATAACAAAATCTCCCAACAAAGAAAAAAATTCTTGCATTTTCCTTCTTTCTGAAAGTATGAAAAGAAAGCAGAGTGGATTTGGATTTTTGTTCTGCTTATTTGTTTGGTTTTTGCTTAGTCCTCTGGAGGAACCCAGTAGTGAGGAAAAAGCTCACAGGCTTTTGAAAAATCAGGCCATCTACATATGTCTGAGGGCATTCAGGTTCAATAGTGTGTTTCTAGGAGCTGAGATTGGCTTGTCTGGTGACCACAGCTTCCATATGTGTGCTGTGAACTAGGCAACTCCTGTGCTTCTCTCTTCTTCCAAATCCAGCAGAAAGAACTGTTAAGGAAACAGAATAAAATGTTCCTAATTTGGGTACTTCTGCAGATGCTCTGTCTCTTTTGATGCTTCAGCTCCCAGTGGCATAAGGAGGGGGCAGCAGGATGAATTTAAAATTCATGCTCTGGTTCTCCATGTCATAGCATAATATGATGCATGAATATGATAAACAATATCCCTCCCTGGCTGCTGTTATATTGGGTTTCTGGGACATGTGAGCTCAGTTTTTAGTGCAAAATATATCATGGGTGCTGTTTGAATCACCATAACAGCTGACTGCATCAGAAGGCTTCTAAATATTACCATCACAGAAGAGGAACAATGGCCTGTGTTTTACTGTTTGATATAATAGATTGAAATTATTGCTTTTAAGAGATGCTCCAAGTATCTTGGCTTTGGTAGTGCTACTTTAACGTAACAGAGTGATGCTTTGTGTGCCCTGCATTCAGAATAATGTCTGCAGGAAAATGCTCGAGATTGTATTTGTGTGTCTTTTGATGGCATGTAAACTGCATTACACGCTGGGATTGCTTCTTTGAAATTAAAATTCTGTGCTCATGTAGGAGCAGGCCTTTGAGGAATAACAGGAAGAATAGAGGTTGTATTTGAATTTACGATGCTAATGGTGATCATCTGCATTCCTTGGCCAGAGAGTTGCAGATTTTGGAGATTAAAAAAACATTCCAGTATTTTACTGGCATTATAAATAATCACACAGAGATGAAAACGTGCCTTTTCTTGCCAAAAGAATCTAGAAAAGCAGAAGATGGCAGGCCTGGAGGCCCAGAAGAGGCCCTTGATGTTGGCAGCACTGAACGGACTCTCAGTTGCTAGGGTTCCAGTGCCGGAGGACAGCCAGGATGAAGTCGCCAAGGTGCCAATGGATGAGAGGGTAAGATGAAGGCTCATGAAATGTTGCTCATTCTTTTTGTTCCCAAGAGCATGAGGTTTCTAAAATACTAAAATTTGATTTAAAATGGGAAAAGAAGTTTCTCTTAAAAGTTTTCAGAGCCATTAATGCAAAAAGTCTGTGGTTAAAACCAGCGTGTCTTTGGATGCAAGCAAAGTATTCAATGTCTTGAACACTTACTGAAGGCAGTGAGAACAGAGGCTGTTCTCTGTTTCACCTGACTGTACAATGTATGCACAATCAAACTGTAAATCTAACAACTTTGCACATTTTTCACTTGATCAGGTGAAGTTCTACAGTGCTCTACATACTGTCTTCCATGTTCTGATACAACTAAGGAGTTCAGTTAATTTCTCTAATGGGATTAAATTTCAAATAAAATAAAAGAAAAGGTTGTTTGCCTCCTGATGTTTGCACACATGGATGTTCCATGGATATGGAATTTTAGAAACTAAAAACGGTTGCTGCCGTTAAGATGTGAGAAACATATTTGCAAAGAATCTTCCTGCATGGAAGTTCGCAGCCTTGTGCTGTCTGGTACGCAGACAGCAGCACTTAACCTCTACATGTACATATTTGGGGTTGTGTTCAACCACAGACATTGCATGCTTGCAAGGTAGGGAGTATTTTGAAAATGTGAGCCACATCACTCTTCTGACATTATGATCTTCTTCCTGAAAAAATAATTTAAAAATATTTTTACAAGTATATCTGTTATGTTGAAATCACACATTCATACTGAAATTCTTACTGAACCAAGATTGTATTTGGCACAGGCTTGCTTTTATTTCTATCTGTGTTCAAAAATGTGGAGGTGGAATGTAAAACTGTAAAATTGGCTTGTGGTTTCATGCAGTAGAAATAAGTATGTCATATTTCCTCAGATAACTGCAAAAAGAAGCGAGCAAGAGAATGCTATGGCTATATATTGGAATTCAAAGAATGAATGGATGGGTCTAGTGGTTAATGTGTTTCCCAGAAGAATTAATGTATTGGTGTTTTTTTCTGTTAAATCTTAGTGCAAAATCTTGAGAAGGAAGTTGGAAGAGGGCATGGTGTTTACAGAATATGAGCAGATTCCAAAGAAAAAGGCGGATGGGATCTTCACCACTGCTGCCTTGCCTGAAAACACTGAGCGCAATCGCATCAGGGAGGTTATTCCTTACGAGGAAAACCGAGTGGAGCTGGTGCCGACCAAAGAAAATAATACAGGCTACATCAATGCTTCACACATAAAGGTAAAAGCTTCTTTAATTTTGCTTTGCAAATGAAGTATGCTAAAGCTTCGTTTGAATTTCCAGATGCACGGCAGCATCTTCTGTAACTCTGGAGCTTCTGAAAAGGTAACTTAGTCAGAATGCATCATTGTACCTGTGTGTCAGCGTGGGCATCTCTAAAGTCCCCTCTCAACTCACATCATGCATAAGTTGATTTAACTGCTGAAGACTTGGATGTCATTTTAGAGAGGCATCCTTGCTTTTTTTATGCCCACCTCTGTCAGCAGTTTGGCGAATATCTCTTGGTTAATGTAGAGAGAGATGCCATGTTTCTTAAGGCTCATGAAAATGCATTAGATCAGCCCCAATACCTGCAGTGTAATATGGTTGTCATGACCCTGCACCTGAAAAAAAATGAGAAGTCAGTATGTGTTCTGAATTATCAGTCCCAAAAGTCTTGCAGGCCACTGGGGGATTACAACAACCTGTGCAGAATGAGTCCCTACAGCTGACTGGTGCATCCTGGAAAGAATACTGCACAAGCTTTGACTGAATCTTTTAAAATTTACTAGCATACAGAACGTGATTTTTAAAAATCAGAAATGTGGCTCCATGTATGCCATTCCATGCCCAAAGTGTGTTATGAGTAATGTATATTCATATAGATACTGAATTTATACATACAAGAATCTGATTCATTCCTTTTATGGTGAGAGTTGACTAATTTTAAAAGAAATTTTTTCAAGTATGCGTTGACCTTTCTAATAAGTTCCCTCTATCTCTGGCTGGAAACTGCATTGAACTTCCACATTTCAAATTATGTTTTTAACAAGAAATTTCAAATTTCATGTTAATTCAATATAGAAATACTTTAAGGTATGATCTGTTACTTGTAAACATGGCCAGTTTTAACAGTGAGCTATGCTGCAGTGACTGCAGATGCTTGTTTTCTCTTAAGCTTCCAGCACTATTTGCCAAGTCCTCTACTACCTTTTACTGTACCATGAGAGAAGTAACAGCAGTCCTCTGCCTCAATGACAGATTCTCTTATTAAAGAGGGTTGTCTGCTTTTTCTCATTGTCAAAATTCAAATTAAAAAGAAATAATTCAAAAATAATGAAGAAAACATCCTGTTAAATTAATATTTTCCTTGAGTAAAAGCCTTTTAAAAGTTCCTAGGGACTTGCTGGCCTTCGTTGTGATTTACAGTATTAAATCATGGTAATACAAAACAATTTCAGAACCAGTATCCTAGCAGTTTATCACTTTTCTGCACAGCCTCGTAGGTAGCAGATACTGAATTTTTGCATAATCAGATGTTGCTATGATGATGGATTTCTGAGTCTAAAATTTTTCACCTACTTTATAGGAAACCAAAAAAAAAAAAAGATTCCTTAATTATGCCCATGAAGCAGTACTAGCCAGAAGAGTTTTCCCTGTCTAGTTTTGAGTCCACATTTTACCTGATGTGTTGGACACACACGTATCTCACATCCATGGAGCACCCAGGAATGGGCACTGATGTTTTGATGCCTGACAGAGGGCCTTGGCAGTATTTCCCTCTTGCACTCGTAGCGGCGCAAGCAGAAGCCAAGCAGATGTGCTTTTGCTTAGAAGGTGAAATCGCATCTGTGAAATTTACCTCAATAGCACAGTGTGTGTCTGTGTTTTCAGCCCAATATTTAATTTTTAATTTCCTGCAGTTAGGGTATTAGAATGCAGTAAACATTCCAGGCATCCCATTCCCTTCAGACTATTTATGGTCCTTTCATACCATGTGCCAGGAGGCTGGATATTTGGACCAGAAGTCAGTAGACAAAGAAAATTCATCTATCACCCTGATAAGATCCATGCCTGGAAGATTCCAGCTCCCACTGCCTCAGTCTGTGAACCCTGCAGTTTTACAATAATTCTGTGCTTATTTACTGGCGATCTTTGTTGTTGAAACATGAAGATCGTCATCTATACCAAAAAGAAAAATTTCAACTAGGTTTATGGATTAAGCAAAAAAATTCTTAAGAGCACTTCATCTCGACTGTTTGGTCACGCCGGTATAAACTTAAAAAGCTCAGTAATGCTATGCCAGCACTCATGACTGCAGATGAGCAAACGCAAGGCCATCAGTCCAAGTGCAAGATGCTGCTTAGTGCTGGGCAGTTTATATTCACTCTCTTGAGGAGTCTACCTGCATTGGTCTGTCAGCTTTTAAACATCATTCAGAAAAAAAAAAAAAAATGCTGCACAGTATGAAATAAGAAAAGGAGCCAGTGTACAGGGTTGAACAGTTTTCAATGAAGGGAAAAACTTATCGTATAAGAACTGTTAGTTACAGCTGTAAAATCCCAAGCATCTCAACTTAATGAACAGTTGTTTGACTAACAAATAAACTGATTCTATTTCTGAAAATGTGTTCAAAGACTTGTACCTCAAACACAGTATATGGTTAAACCTGTCAGAGTTATTGATTGTTCCTTGTAGCATTGTCCGCCAGTACCTTGATATTTATGGACATGTCAGCATTTCTGTTGTAAATCTTCTCTGGGATTTATAACTTTTCAAGAAGTGGCTCTGGGCTAATACACAGAATTAGGAGGCCTTAGCCTGAGAAGGAAAAATATTTCAGCTTTCCAAAACAATTAGTTCATCTGGTTTTGCTGCTAAGCATATTTTTGAAATGATATGTAGTAGCTCTGAAAGCACTTTGGCTTTTTACCTAAAATGTTAAAAAAAATTTTATAAACCTTTCCTGGTGCATAGCAAACTATATGTCATAAAATTATAATTTTTTTATACACAAGTGACTTCTTTTTTTTTTTAACTGCACAAGTATGACCTTCTGCCTCCGTCAGTTAAATTAAGTGTTTTTTTACACTGCCTAACTCCAAGGTAATGCTGTGTCTGTTCAGGGTGCTGTATGATTTATAGTGTGTAAATCTGTGTGTTAGTGCCTTAAAAAGAATTTCATTACTCGCCATCATGCAAAACACAAATATTTCTGTAAGATGTGGTTGGTAAACCAGTTATATATTGGGAAATAGATTTGCATGACTACAGCTATAGATAATTTTAAATTTCTTATGGTATTTGAAAGCCATTTAATGCGCTGGATTTACTGTATGGTCATTTGCAGCTTCTGAACAGAAAAACCCAAGATAAGTGAGGAAGAGTAAGTTGAAACGAAGCCTGTCTTGATCTCATCTATGTCTGGCAACAGGCCCATTGAGCTCTGTTATGTACAGAGTGTGGGCAAGGCTGCATCCTCTAGGAATGGCTTGGCCGCATCTTCAACAGTGATCAGTGTAGTAAGAGTCTGTTTAATAAATTACTTTTTGTCTGAGTGGAAAATAATCGAGGGAGGTCCTAAACAGCAGAGGCCTTTAGCTTGTCACACGCAATGTCATTTGCATTCTGCACTAGCATGTGTTCATTTGCAAGCAGTGTGATGCCTTTTTAATGCAATACACTCGCTTCCTCTGGTCCTCAGCTTCTCTTTCATCTTGGGCCTGTCACCAAGGCCAGGAATGTCAGTCAGTTGGTTTTTGTACTTAAGCCATACCAGAAACAGGGCCTCAAAAAATATATTTTTTGTTGTTGTTTTGATTGTTTGTTTGGGGTTTTTTTTTGTGTGTATGATCCAGATAAAATGGCAAGAAAGATAGATGGCGTTTAGGTCAAAGCTTTATGCTTATGAGCATCAAGACAGGATGTGGAAACACCAAAGATTATGCTTTGTCGGATTTGATCTAATCAAAAGGATGATTTTTATTGACAGTTTTGAACAAAAGCAGAAGAACAAAGAAGTAAAGATTTCATTATAGTCTCTTTTGTTTAAAAGGCGGTTCTGGCACAGGTGCTGCTGAGAATTTGGGCGCTGATGGTTGGGGTTTTTTCCCTTTCTCCCAGGTTACTGTAGGTGGAGAGGAATGGCACTACATTGCTACCCAAGGACCTCTGCCACACACATGCCATGACTTCTGGCAGATGGTGTGGGAACAGGGAGTGAATGTTATAGCCATGGTCACAGCTGAAGAGGTATGTGAAATCACAGCATACAGTTCTTCCTGATGTGAGGAAATCTCCTGTTATCATCACTTCCCACTCGAGTAACCTGTTTTTTCTATCAACATCCCTTTTTCCTATAACTCTGTTTGAACGTATGCCTGTACTTCTCTCGTACTATAGTTTGTAGCATTCTGATACTCAGTTTGGCAAGTGCTAAAGCAAACAAACAGAAGCCCCCCTTGCCCCTGCTTTGGCCAAGCCAAACAAAGATGTTTCCACTGGAATGTGAGAACACTGAACTGCTCCTGGTTAAAATGACACAAAGTTCCACACCATCCAAGGCCAGTTCTGCATACTGTCACTCTTATCAGCTGAAAAGAGACCAGAAGCTGTTGTTTCCATAGAAGTGTCCATGTAAAAAAACCCCACAAAACAAAACACAACAAAAATAAAAACAAAAACCCCCCACAACTTTTTATTCTAATGCCAAGCAAAACAGTTATTTCTACTGTAATCCAAGAACTATGTGATATATTATAAAAACTGACACATGTTGTTAACTAACACAGCGTCCAGCTTTATGCCTGGTTGCTTTCAGCAAACAAACACAGGGAGTAGCAGAGCACATCAAGTCACTGTCCAGTTCCCAAGGCTGATCAGGAGCAGATACTTGGAAGCTGCTGAAGAGAATCTCCTTCCATTTAAAGGAGAGGGTTCCCTAGGGGGAGAATATTTACCAAGGTGTTGCAGGCAGTAGCTGTCTTTTGCCACAAGACAAGGGGTTGTTCTTCAAGCAGTTTTACACTTTCAGATATTACATGGCTCAGAGGTTTAAGTGTTAATGGATGTTTTCTTTACTTTGTGGGATGTTCCTTGCTCTTCCAGTAATGTGAAATAAGAATATTTGGCTTATCTTCTGTTTTATACCCTCTGTTTATAGATAATTATAACTGCAGGAATTAATGGCTTTTTGTGGTTTTTGTTTGTTTTTAAGGAGGCAGGAAGAAGTAAGAGCCATCGTTATTGGCCTAAACTGGGCTCTAAGCACAGCTCAGCCACTTATGGGAAGTTCAAGGTGACAACAAAGTTCCGCACAGACTCTGGCTGCTTTGCAACTACTGGTCTGAAGGTCAAGCATCTTCTCTCTGGACAAGAGAGGACAGTGTGGCATTTGCAGTACACCGACTGGCCAGACCATGGATGTCCAGAAGAAGTCCAAGGCTTTTTATGTAAGATTTCTTTATCTTGCATGATAAAATACGTAAAGGAGAAGGTTGCTCACACTGAATTCAGTTCACCGGAACCCAGTTACATCTGGGATTGATATTAAATGGTTATTGCTGTGGCATATAAAGGCCTCAACTAGATTGTACTTTGCAGCAATTTGGAGAAAAAAAAAGTGGAATTTAAGAGGTAGGAGCTAAGGCGATTAACAGGAGAAAAGTTCAAGGCAGCAGCAGTGCCAGAGACTCAGGAAATTTTAAATAATAGGATACCTCTGCTGGATGATCTATCAATGTAAGTTATCACTACTTCACAGATACCTAATGAGTGTAGGAGATACTAGGCTGCATGCTAATGTGATTAGAGAGGTCTGAGTGAGAGAGGATCAGGTTTTAGTGCAATATGGTGCAATTCCTCAGGTTTTTCTTGTTGCAAATAGCAGAGGGCTCTATCACACATGCATTAAGTTTGAACTTGCTACCACTTTATAACCACATGTGATGCTAAAGGGCCTTCCCAAGGCCTTCCCAATTACTTATGATCCTAGTTCATGCATTTCTGAAAATAATATTCATCTGCAATGTGTGAATAACACTCCCTGCTTCTTAATAAGTAATGTACTTTCCCATATTAAGTAATAGGAATTCAACCATTATTTATCTAAAGTGACATATCTGGCACTATGGCAGAGAATCTTTAAATTAAATTAATACAGATTTCTTTTCAGTAACACTGAAGGAGCCTGTTCATGGTGTATTGAGGTGTTGATGATGCCTCCCCTTTTAGTTCCTGAAAGATTTGCAGCTGCAGTTTAGCTCTCTGGCAGCTAAGTCCCCTCTCAGAAAGATCCATTAGTTCTACTTCAGTCTTGACACAGCTACAGTCCTTTAGTGGTCCATTCTCCTTTGCATGGTACAAGCTTGATGTAAATAGCGTGTCTGTCTTTTCCCAGTTCTGTCACCAGGGCAAAAAAAATAAAAAATGACATTTTGGCTTCAGCAAAGGAGTGCTATTGTCCAATTCCTAGTTTGTTTTGTACTTTGTTTCTCTTACCAACCCTTGTAGCTGTGGTAGGGCATGGCAGTAATTGGAACCTGATTGTCCCCATTTCCTCTCTCCCATTACTTGCCACCGCTTACAGTCCCATTTCACTGTGTGCATTAAAATTCAGCTTTTCTGATGTTTGTGGGCCTCCAGCCACATCCTGCCTGTGGTGAAAGGACAGCTCAGGCTGCAGCGCCGTGCCACCAAGAGTCAGTGCAGGAGAGTTCAGCTCAGGTCTCACTTCCCACTCTGACTGCTGGGAAGCTAAGTAAGCTTCCAGTACTTAAGGTTCTCAATGCAGTTTGACAGTAGAATGTGTTGTGTTGAACAAGGCTAGGGCAGCCACACAAGGTAACTGTTCTAGAAATGGCTTCAGGGAAAACTAAGGCAGTGATCTCCCAGAAGGGCTCATAACTATTGAGAAATAAACTTTGAGCAGAGAGGTGGTGAGATTCCATCCCAGTCTAGAAAGGAGAAGGAAGAGAGGAAACAGGGCAGATGGATGCTCATTTCCCATCTGATGCTGGCTTTGACAGGCAGTAGTTTCAATATGACTTAGCTTTTGTTTTGATCCCAGCCTGTTAATAGGAGGAATTGCTGTAAGTAATGTCTAGAATCATCTGCTTAAGGGACCTGGAGATTTGCAAGAGGGAAAACGAAATTTAATTTTTTAAAAGAACTATTTAATTTAAAGGAGCAGACTCCCAAGTAATAATTGACACCCAGCTGGTACTTGCTGGATGCAGTGCTGTTCCATGCACCCTGGCCAAAATAATTAGTATGTTGTAAAAAATGGAAATTATTGCCACTTAGGCAAAGAATGACTTTTCCACATTCTTTCACCCTTTTTCCCCCCCACCAAATTTTACTTTTAGACATATAGATGTTGCAACCTTGCCTGCGTTTTACCTTGCAGCTTACTTGGAGGAGATACAGTCGGTGCGTCGCCACACCAACAGCGTGCTGGACAGCAGCAACACCTGCAACCCTCCCATCGTGGTTCACTGCAGCGCAGGGGTAGGAAGGACTGGAGTAGTTATCCTAACAGAACTGATGATTGGGTGCTTGGAGCATAATGAAGTAAGTCAGCTGCTTTTGCAGGATAAAACCCCAACTCGAGCTCGTTCCTTGACTAACTAGTTACATTTCTGAGGTTAAAATTAAAAGTCATCGAAGTGCTTTCTTTCTCTGCTACCTTTGTGAGCAAGGTGAGAGCCTTAAATGTAACAGGCAGAAATTTCCCATGCAAGGTTACTAGTTGCAGTTTTCTGTTTAGTTGATATTATGCATTTTTATTAGGATTATTTTAATACATTTAAAATTAGGGCTTTCTTCTCTCTTTTAAGAATACAGTCTAATTCATACCAGTATTTAATTAAAAGTCTAGAGACAACGTGTTTACAAGGAGTACCTAAAAGAGGCTAGAGAATAATGTCCTTGCTCTTTTAACTAAAGTTTTCTGCTCTCTAAAGTTACTCCTTAGACTTCTTCTTCTCTCTCATATGGACCTTAATCTCACCTGGAATGAAACTTAACTGTGTTTTAAGAATAAGGTGTGTGTACATATTCCTAGGGGGAATAGGGTTTTAAGATTTGCAGACAATATGACGAGTAATACAGTCTGGAGTTTAAGAATAAGAGCACCAGTAGAGTAACCATGTGTAGCAACTTGCTTTTCATCTGTCACTGAGAAACTGCCTAGGAAGAACATTACATCTTAACTAACTGTGACACACACTTTTCACAACAGCTATGGAAACCAGGGATTTCTCTTGCCAAAGAAAATGCCCTATAAGAGAGCATTTGTAGAAATAGAAATGCAGCAAGAGTAACAAATAGACATATATCATCTGCCTCTCCCAGTAATCAGCCATTGGATGAGTTCAGGGAAGACTGAACACTCCAGCAGCTTATTACTCTATAGTTCCAAGATGGCTAGAGATCTTGGGCTCAGGTCAGCTGACAGGCAAACCTCCTGCAACTCTGCTTGGGCCTCACTAGAAGTGAAACTGTCCTGTAGATCTGTGTCACAACCGGTACTTTTTCCTTTGCTTTTTATTTGTGGGGGAGGTAGGAGGGTGAGGAAGGGAAAGAAGCAGGTGGCCTGGACAAAAAAGGGCCCACAGGTATGTGTTTTGGGAATCCAGCAGCATTCCTGTGCTGACTGCTGCTCAGTAGCTGCTCCTGTGTGGGGCACTGGCTCCAACTCTTGAGCCTGCTTGACCTTCCTTATGCACTGGCACCTGGAAGTTGACTGCTTCTGCTGTGCACACAGTAGCCATGAAATTTCTGCATTCCAGAGGAAAGCTGGAGAGTCTAAAGAGCTGTCCCTGAATTGCTTGTGAGCATCAGTGTAGGTGTGTGTACTTTGTAGCAACCTCTGTATGTGCATAGAAACAAATACCTCAACATCTAAGCATGGGTGTAAGCCCTGACATCGTTCATAAGAATTTTCATCAACTTCTCTAGCACCTTATGGTAGTGCTCAATAAGAAGGGATTTCTCTGATGTCCCTTAATTAAAGGATTCTTTTGTCTTGATTATTAATGAAAATCATCATTAATATTAAATACAATTTTCCTTAAGGGCTTTGTTGCACTAGAGTGTACTAAGTTAATGTTTTGGTTTGTTAAAACCTAATTGAAAAAAAGATTAAAAATCCCTAATAGTATGCTTTTGGTTTGTGACAGATACTTCATTCTGCACAGAGATGGTTCCTTTTCACTTGTTTATTTTGTAGTGGTATTAATTGTTTTTTTTCCTGAAATAAAATTATTTAACGTTTAAAACGTTTTAGTCTTAGGAATTGGTTGATTTCCTCAGAAGTGTCCCAGTAAGTAGAAGTGTCAACATTTTAGCAATGAAGGAAAATGAGGAAAGAGTTTCAAAATCTTGATACAGACTATCTTGGAATGTAGTGCTGGAACAAAAGGCAGAAGCCTGGAGTTTGAGGTTTCAGGTTTGGGTAAAAAGCCGTGTTTAATCAAAATCTATACCACTTCAGTCATTATGGCTTCTGGGCAATAGCTGGTTGAGCCTAAAGCTGTGTATCTCATAGCAGGGATAGCATTTCAGTCACTGCTGCATAGCAAGTAAATGTCACATCATTACATCCTTGTTGCTGTAGACACGTAGTAGAGGAAAATAACTGAGATCCTGTTCTCTCAACTTTTAGTTTAGATTTGGCACTGGGACATTAACTCATGATTGCAACTGCAGGTTGTTTTCATAGGAGAGGTCTTTTAGTTCGGGAGCCAGAAATGAGTAGCATTTTTGTTTGTTCTGTTTACAAGTGCCAACTTAACAAAACATTATGTGCCTTTTTTTTTTTTTTTTTTTTTTTTTTTTACGTGTACATGATAATGAAGGTGAGTTTAAGGATTCTGCTTACCTGGAGTCAAATGCTAAGTTGGCTATAAATAGTGAGGTTTAATAGGCAGGATGGGGTTTTCTTTCATTTCTGAGAAGGTGAAGTCATCTCCATTTTGAGGAGGTGCACGGATCACTGTTTGTCCACTAAAAATCAGTGAGCTGTCATGCACCAGACTGCCAAGAGAGAAATACGGCGTGCAGGTCAAAGCTGGCCTGCATTTTTGTTGCAGTTTTTTAGGTGAGATTAAGTTCCACATGAATCTCCTCAGCAAGGACCACGTGGCTTTTGTAAGCATATAAGTCCACAGGGAGGCTTTCTCCAAGTTAGCCAAGTTAACTGGAAAGTGCATTTTTCTTTGGACCTGTTTGATAATAATATGGCATTACTCATCCCAAATTTTTACACTTACTTGTTGGCTCTCTAGAGATGTCCTTTTATAACAGCTTGTTGGGGTATGTGACAGAATATTTGGCCTTGTTTTCAGAAAGTGATAGCCTATGAGTTAAGACTTGTTTACATGGAATGGACATTCTGGGTTTTATATATATGGACAGAAATGGATATGCAGCATGACTTTTATTTTAAACTTTCCAGGAAAGTTCCCATGTGTCTGGAAGCAGATTCCATGCTCAGCTGAACCTCCAAGGGTTAGCAGCAATCTTACTCAAACTTGCTCAGTTCTTTTTTGTGTTTCTGTAATGGCAAACTGGCACTACAAACTGCAGCTTACGTTGCCTGATAGGGTAGCTGTTCTTCAGTTTTGTATCTTGAACTGCTCAAGAGCTTCCTCAAAACCAGCATGAATTTTAGTGCTTGCATTTACTGCTGCCATAGAAAATTTGTATCCCCCGTCCTGGGTCATATTACACGCTCTTTGAATTTGAGCCTGGCAGGCTGAGCTTCATGGCTCAATGAATTCTGAATAGCTCCTTGTGTACCTGTTGTAACAGATAAAACACAATAGCATCATAGGTTTTTTGCTTCCTAAGTGCCAGACATCCGATGATAGCACCTAATGAAAATTGCAGTGATTTTTAATGTTTTACCTCATGGGCCTCTGTTTCACACGACTCATTCGGTTTTGAGTTCAGACCATTATAGGGTGCCTGTGCCCCAGTGTGTTCGATGGGGTTAGGGGTGTACTTTCATAGTGGAACTCCTTATCCATGCCTAATTACTGTACCTTAGTTCCTGCTGCAGAGCATCTTTCAGGGCACACGAGTGAATTTTGTTTGGATGAAACCAAGCTGGAAGACACCTTCTTGGAGAACACCTAACGTGTCCCAGCTGTTAGTGGATGTTCAGTAGATGGCAACAAACTTGCTGCTGGCCTAAAGTCTGCAAAACATGTATTGTGGATACTGGGTCCTCGTTTCACTTTACAGACCTATTTCTCCTGGAGTGTTATCTGCTAACATAGACTTAGCTGTGAAAGGTCAGATCTTGGAGTTTCTGGATCTTTTGGTGACCTTTGTTCTTATGACCCTGATGCCTCTTTGCCATTTGAAAAATCTCAATGATTGTTTGATTTAATGAACCTACGTCCTTATGCTTTTTTCCCCTTTGCTTTACAGAAAATGGACGTTCCTGTGATGCTGAGACACCTGCGGGAGCAGAGAGTGTTTATGATCCAGACCATAGCCCAATACAAATTTGTTTATCAAGTGCTCATACAATTCCTGCAAAACTCTAGACTTATTTGATCTTTTTAAACATCCCAGACCCAGCTTTGCGGATCTGACTGAACCTTACTGGTGAACAAGGAGAACTGCCTTGACAACACTGTGTGCATATATTGCACTTTTTAAAGTTGTCTTGAACGTAAGGAATGATTGTTCTTTACTAGTCTCCTGTGTATTATTTTATACAAGATATAATTTATTTTTCTTGGAATAACTTTTGAATTACTTCAATAACTCGTAAATCTTATAGTGACCTTCAAAGTGAACCACATTTGACATGACTGGTCTGCATTGTAACATGTCCATAAAGGAGAGCAATCCTTTGTAAAGGTAGTTTACTAGCTTTTATTTTGCTGCACAGCTTCTGAAATGAACAGGTATTTGGCAGTGGGCTTTTTCTCACGTGAGGACGTTCTGGATGCAGGTATGTGGCTTCCGTGGTAAAAACAAGACCTGCTAGATGTCAGCTACAGCTCTGTATGAGTGGAAGTTGAGGGTACACAGCATGGAGATTTAATTTCTGCATGTGCATCTGGGCACGTTACAGAGGGCTCAAACACAGGACATTGTGAGGACAGAGAGTTTTGGGTGCTAAACTGTTCAAATTCCGCAAGAATTACGGCTTTAGATTTAGTCCTTGAAAAAATCAACACTGGATCTTTTAAACGAGGCCTTTGCTGCTGTGTGCAGCCCTTGAAGGGATTCTAAGAAGCAATGTAGGGTGAGTGCAGTGACCCACAACAGGCTGAAGTCAATGAGTGAGGTTTTTCAGTAATTGTGGTGGACTGAGAGTTGAACAGCATAGGATTTTCAACCAAATGCATCCGAAAAAAACCAAACAAGCACATTCTCATGGATTACACTGAAAGTATTATTGCCTTGAGGTTCACCTCCTGTAGAAAAGGAATCTCATTTAAATTAGGCACCTCTGGTTCCCTTAGTTTTCATGTGTGAACTATCTTCTAATGGCTAGAGAAGGGATCAGGCTGGAGAGGAGCCTGGGATGTCTCTGGTCCCAGCCCTGTTCACCTTACTGCTAACTTTAAACTTGGATAGGCTTGCCCAGGGTCACACTCAGTTTCAGAATTCTCAAGGGTGAAGATTTCACAGCCTCTCAGGGCATGTGATGCAATGCAGTTACTCTGTCATGGTGAAATTACCTTTCCTGGTATCCCTTTCCCAGATACTTTTTAATATTTTGGCCCTATTGTTGCTTTTCTGTTGCATTCCCACCTCCAAACCCTGATCAGTGTACAAGATCTAAGCCTACAAGCACTCTTAATTTCAGCACTACAGGGACTAAAATCAGTGTGAGCTTAAGCTCAGGTTCTGTACTAGAATGTTTCTTAAATTGCTTAGCACTGCACTCTGTTGGTTTGGGTCTCTGCAATGCAGGCCTAACGAGGTGACAAAGATTCCAGTGAAGATTTCTACCTACCAATAAATGGAGATGAGTTATTTTTCTGTAATACCTTGACCATGTTCTTTTTAGGAATCAGTTGCGTTTTTAGTCAACTTCAGTTTTCCTCTAATTTCTTCTGCCAGTGCCAACATATCTCTTGTTAAATTAGCAGCAACCATTTAAAGTCTTTTCAGCAGCATCTGCATGATAATTGCACAGAGATGCTTTATATCTGGGAAAAAAGCCAAGGAATAAACCTTGAAGCAAAGTGTATTAAATTAGTTATCTCGTTATAACTTTTTGAATAATTTCCTAATGATGAATTAAGTTTGAACTCAGAGCTGTCAAGTCCCATTGCTCCATTTGGACATGAGAAGTAGAAAATCAGGAGGGAAAAGAATCTGTTCCTTTGTCTTATTATTCAGCTGCTCTTGGCTGAAATGTGTACTTCTGCTTCTACAGTGAGCACAGGAAAGTTACTGCATAAGAGAGTAAGAAGAGCTGCGTATGAAGGGAAGAATATTAAGCAAATGTTTTTTATGCAAAGATGCATCATAGGTGTCTTAGAAAAATATTAATTAGAAAAAGGCACCAAAAATCCTTTCCAAATGAATTCAGTGCCTATTAATGAGCCAAATAAATGGCCATGTAGTAAACAGTCATTTCCAATTAACTCCTAATGTGGCTGGTACGGTAGATAGAATTCCATGTGACTCACTTTTTCCCTTTCGTTGTCAAAGAATGGTAATTTTAAACTTTTCCTTTCATCTGACTTCAATGTATTTTTCCCTGCTAGATTTTATCTTGACTAGATCTGCTAATATCATAAGTGAATTGGGCTGGTGCTTGCCTTCAGAGGTTCCTTTCCACCCCAGCTTCCAAATGACCCTCAGCATGTTGATGTTTTATGGTTGAAATGTGATACAGTTCTGTAAGGGAAAAACTGAACCTTCTGACTTTGAACCTGTTGTAGTTTTATCAGGCCAAAATTGCCTGGGCGGTATTTCCTAACCTTTAGGGAGTGACAGGAAAATGCATTCTGCATCCAATTTTGTTAGTCATAGCAGGAACGAACACATGAGACTTAAAGCAACAGTGCTGTTTAGTTTCTGTCTCACAGACTTTAAACACCACAGTCCTTAAGGAGAAAAGGACAATCTGGAGTTGCTGTATGTTGTGTTGCATGTTTTTTTAACATCAAAGCATGACATGGGTTTGAGAACAATTTCATCTATTTGGAGTAAAGTCTGGACTGAAAATCTCACAGATGCTTCAATGAATGGAACTGCACCTAAGAAGTTTGACATAAGCAGCCTTCTCCCAGGGCACCCACAATGCAGTCTGGCACATTTAACCTATGTTCCCTCATGCTTTCTGAGAGAGAATTTGCAGTGGATGATGTCTGGCTTGGGAATCCATTGTGTCTGTTTTCCTTTTTATCCACTCTTCATGCGTATTTAACACTCTTTGCTTTTTTTCTTTAAATTGTTACCAGTGATAGTATTGAGGTGCTGGCATCAAATTTTCGGTTAAGGTCTAACATTTCATGCCTACCATTCCTCAATCAATCAGGGATGGGAGAGATGACAGCTGAGTTTGGACACTGCTCAGTGCTGTGGGTATCCTGTTTCTGTCCTTCATCAGATACACTGGAAGATGGTGGACATTAACTGCTCAGGTCCTACTTGTTCCAGATCCTACTAAGGCCTGTTTTGGCACCTCTTGTCCTTGACTACCTGAGAAAAGATGAAGCTTGTTCCCACAAACAGTTTCTTTTCTAGTTATACAGGGACCCTAAATGCCCAACCTCATCAAAAATACCTTTTCCCTAAATGCATTTCATCTGGCAGGGGACACATCTGTGAGAACTTATTCAACCTGTTGCTAACACAGTCCTTGAAATTTACTGAAGGACATTTCTGTTTCACTTATGTAAATCAGCTGCCTCAGCTACTAATATTATTAAATATTTGCATGATTTCAAAAGTTGGGTTTTTTTCTTTTTAAATTACTTCCATGTAAACAAACAGAAATGCAAATGGCAAAACACAGACTTACTCATTCTCTTCCAACTTAAATGCTTCAATAGGTATGCTCATTGTAAGCCATTATTTTTTGATCCTACTTTGTCTGTGTAGTCCACAGCAACTCTGAAATAAATGCTGATGGAAATCTTGGATATAGTAAAAATCTATAGGAAAAATTCAGCAGCTACTGATGATGCTGCATTCTCAACAGCTGACTTCCCCCTGGTCTCCTGGGAGGAGATGATGACTGAATTAGCTGTTGTCAGCCTTGCTAACAGTTTGTGATCTGCAGCTCTTATGCATCACTGAGGGAGGTCTGACTCAAATCTTGCTGCTTGTCTTTGTGGGGAAAAAAACCCGCTAGGGCAGCACCTACTGCAGGAAATAAAGGCTGCATGATTTTGCAGGAACAAATACCTGAACTGACTGTGAAAGGAGGGACTGCCTGAAAACAGCATTTGACCACTCTTCTACAAAAATGAATATAAATCTGCTGATGCATATTTCAAGTCATAAGGAGTTTGGGGATGGGTTTTTATGCCAGTAAGAGAGAGGCTGCAAGTCCAGAGCCCCAAAGGCAATTGTCCTCAGCTTGCTCTTAGCCTTCTAGAGAGGTCTGGTGCTATGGGAACTACAGATGCCATCTAAGTCTTTAGAGAGGAGGACATTATACCTGCAGCTGTTTGCAGGGATTGTGATTTGAGGAAGGGAACAACTGGCTGCTTGGGCTGTGGGGTAAATAAGAGAAGATGGAGGTATTAAACATAAACAAACTATTGTTAGATTGTGAAACAAAACATTGCAGAGGTCAAAAATAGCAGTGTTTATATAAATATTTAAAGTAAATAGATGTCAGTGTTTTTAAAGTATCTTAGATTACAGTTCCATTGGTTCCTCTGAGCCATTTTTTGGTTGGCATTTCTTTGAAGTTTTGTTGCCTCTGCTTTATGTGCACCCTCATTGAGTTTCCCACGTGTACACCAGCATGACTTTGCCTTTGGAAAGTGAACTGGAAATCGTGATAAATAGCAGCTTCCACTGGAGAATCCCAGCACTACTGAACAGCAAGGGAAGGACTAATACTTGAGCTGATCCCTGTGATCCCTGAAATGAGTGCTTAACAGTTTTACTCTTCCAAATCACCTGAGTAAGGACTCAGTGGTTGGACACTCAGCTCCAGGTGTTTCAGGGGTAGTGTCCCCTGATTATGCAGGCAGGCATAAAAGAGGAAGGCTTTCCACAAACTATTTCCATGTAGGTTGGAGGGCACACCCTGACTTAGACAGGGGCTGGTAGTAGACACTTAAGAAGAAATATGAACATGTTTAGAAAAGGGTGCTCAGCCCCTCTAGTGCACCTGGTAGCCAGTCCTTGAGGGGCTTCCTGAGGCCAAAGTTGTATTCCATTCACTGTGTTTAGTAACTACTGATAGATCCATCTTCCATAAATCACCTTACCTTTTCCTTAGAAGCCATTTATTCCTCTGGCTTTCACAATGTCCTGTGTTGGTGAGTTCCACAGCTCAATTATAGATGTAATATATAAGAACTTCTTTTTTGTGTATGTTAAATAAAAGTATTTTCTTGCTTCTACTTGGTCTTTAGAAGAAAGCAAATCTTTAGTGCCAGAAACACTGTTATAGGATGTTTATCCTGTTGCAATTGCTCCACATGGAAAACACGTTTTCCTCACTAGTAAAGTACCCTTCTTTGATCATTTTACAAAGGAAAAAAGTTTACACATGCAGATGACTGTAATATTCCCATATGTAATTGTGTGGAACATGTTACATGAACTAACGTGTTTAAGTTTTATGTCACTGGATTTTACTGTCCTGTTTTACTTCAGTATTTTGATGCTTCCTGTTTTATTTGTTCTGTAATTCTGTTCATGACAGTTTAGCACAAAACATCGATCTGGATCTCACCACCTCATTGTATGTACACATTTTGTAGAGAAATGAGACATCAGTTATATGCCCTCCCTGCTCCCTCCTGTTCGGGCTGAATGGCAGAGCTATTCTATGCTATTGAAAGCCTTTAAAAAAATCTATGCATGCTATTTTTTAATATTCTAATGTATTATTCATATCAGTACATAAGCTTATGCTTGTCAGTTTTATCTTCTGTATAGAACTGATTACTTTTGACAGTATTTTTGCACTGTTTCTTTTCTCTCTCTTTTTATAATAAAAAGTTCTATTCAGCATTAATTGACTGCAATAATTTTTTACCCCTTTCACTGCCTTTGTGTAAATAGTTTCTTATATGTTTTTCCAAATATGAGAATGTCTTCAGTCACTGAGGTTTTTTGGTAAGGCTGTCCTTCATATTCACAGTAAACAATAAACCATTTTTTTCAAGGAGAACTGTACTTGTGTTCTTTTTCTGTACCAGCTTAAGGTTTTGTATTTGTACCTACCATACTTGAGTTAGTTTCCCACGTTAAACTGGTAGGCACAGCCAGGGCCAAAGTGAGCTTTGAATAACCTTCTGTAAACAGTAATCCAAGTTTTGCAGGGGCAAGGCTCACACTGGTGCTCATGCTCAGCTCCTCAGATTCTTTGGTGTTGAAGCATAGTCTGGGCTCTGGACAGACTTTCTGAAGTAAAGGTGCTATTTCCTTGGACAAAGGTTTACTTGGCATGATATCGTTAGGATAAAAATAGTCAGCTAGTGCCCTCTTCCTAGGTTTGGCTGTAGTTAAATATTCTTGGCTTTCTGGAGTTGTAAGATCTGGTGCAGTTTTATGTACTAAAGCAACAACTGCTGGCTGGAGAGCAATGAAAACCTTCAGCAAAATGAGCTGACAAACCCTTGTTCTTGCAGTTTTATTTTCAGAGCAGTGCTTACAAGAAAGAAAATACAGTAACATTCTCAAGGGTGATGTGTTCTCTTTCTCATTATAAGCCATGACAGCAGCAAGGAATGGGCAGGTACTTTCACTGGGCACCACATTTAAATATTGGTGCTGCAAGTGCATAGCCACACTCTTTTTTTCCCTCCCCTCGTTAAAAGCAATATCTTCTACCATTGATCTAAATAGAGGGGAAAAAAATACCCTCTTAGCTTTCTCTACCCATATATAAAATAAATCCTGGACTTTTTCCTCAGAAAAGGTTCTTGTTCTTTATTTTAAAAGTAACTGCTAACATATTAATAGAATAGTTGTAATACACTGGAGGCGAAGGTAGGGCTGTAAGGAAATATGAGCAGTAAATTCACTTCAACTTGTAAAGGGGACTAAAAAGCTAGAAATTGCACAATTCATGTCTTGTGCAAGCCTTTGAGCTCCAAGATTCTCTCCAGCATTCTCTCTCTGTACAAGACATGCTGAGCTCTAGGCCCTTACGGTGATGAATCCCAATCTGCCAGGAGCAGTGATGGACCTGCAGAATAACTGGCTGAGAGAACAGTGGTGGCTTTCCTGTAAAATGCACAAAATTCATCCCCCACTTCCCCTTTGTCTCAGCTAAGCCACTGCAAACAAAAATGATTCATGAAAAAAGGAAATGGATGCCAAACCACAACAGAAAAAGTACAGCTTTTGCTAATTTGTCAGATTAAACAAAACTGTTTAGGCAAAAGTAGATGCCACAAGACTATTGCACCCATTTAAGTGTACAAGTGGAATCAAGAGGGGTCAAGACCATTTTATTTACTTTACACAAATAAGATCCACATTGAAATCCCTAAAGAAAAAAATGGTCACTTTTGCACATGAACTGTCAGAAGGCATAACCTTCAAGAAACCATGGATGCTTCCTTAAAAGAAGAAAAAAAGGCAATTGTAGATGGGTGGAAGCTAGGCCTAAGTGTGTTTGTCATTCCAATTATAGGACAGAACTGTGTTCACTCTACCGCTTTTCAAAGCACTCCTGAAGGTTTCCATAACAAGGCTTTTTAAATAAAGGTTTGAAGGATTGCATAGATTCAAAGGCTCAGTGGTCCTCTAATTCCTTTTTGATCTCTGAAATGTATGGATGATCTTTCCCATGTGCTACTTCCATGATAGCAATTGCCTATGAAAAGAAAAAAAAATATTCACACAATTGATTCATATATAACACCAGGCTATAAATACTCCCTTTAGAGGTTTGAAGCAGTCTGACACCTCTAGCTACTTTTTGTCCCCTTGTACTCATAAACCCAGTAGGAAATAAAATGAATTTCAAAACTTAGTAATAAAGGTTTTACATTCAGAGAATACATCTTTGATCTTAAAGGAGCCCAAAGCAACTTTCAAAATGATATTCCTGACAAAACTACTTTGAATGCAACCAGCTCCAGGACAGAAAACTGTAAGTGCAGTGGGTAATATTCTGGCAGAGGACTTAGCCAGTATCAGAGCGAGCTGTGTTCCTACCAATTTATCCTTCAGCTGTCACATGGACATGCAGGCCTGCTGCAGAATTTACATTAAGGCTACCTATGCTTCAGCAAGGAAGCAATTTCTTAGGCAAAAAGTGAAATCCTGTCAGGTTCAGACAGACACTGCTATGCTCGACTCCCTGCCATTTCACCTACAGCTTGCTCCAGTCCTAAGAGTGAACATTGCAGGCAGCCAAACCCCCTGACTTGCACTTTTCCTACCATTGCCCACACTCACGGTGGAATGTGTGCAGGGGGCAAGGTTTCCACTTGAGAAAAGCATAGCAGCACCCCCAATCAGATGTGATAAAAGAGGCAGCAGTAGATAGAACTAAAAGCAAGTTCACTGTAAGTCTGAAAATATTTAAAGACCACAGTGGTAAGACAGAACAAGGAATAGCCCTCTAAGCATTTAGTCATTTTCTCATTGGGAAACTTATATGGAATTATACTCTTGCATTTGTAAAGTAAGTACAGCAAGGGCTTTTGGTTCCACCTCAGCAGCAGCAAGAAATAACTCCACTCCTCCTCCTCCTGCTCAAAAGAAGAAAGGAGGGACTTCTGGATGAGCTGCTCACAAACTGACAGAGAACAATGGTTTTGTTTTTCCACTAAATCCCAAACATAAGGGGCTGGGATAACTTTGGGCAGTTCCTGTAGACAGCTTTTGGAAGTGAGTCATTAGAAAATGTTTGTGTTAGGAAGCTAACTCTGCCAACAAATCTACCTAACAGTTCCCTACCCCCATCCCATGCTCTTGCTGGCACAGTTCCCATTTCTACTCAAAGGTTTAATACCACAGGGAAGGAAAACCTATGTTAACTTCAAACCAGGTAACAGTTAAATTTTAGAGCATGTATTCTTGTAGCATCTTGCCACCATGGCTGAATGGCTCTGTTATTGCTGGCTAAAAACTTGCCAGCATCTCAAGAAGAAGAAAAAATAAATACATTGTGACATTCCACGAGTCATTATATGCTACAGTAGTCACGGATGCTTAAGAAACTAAAATAAACTTCTGTCCAACAACAAGAAGGGGAAAAAAAGTCAAGAAACATAGTACAGACTAATAATAAAATAAAAGAATAAAAAACTAAGGAATAAGGAACAGACTAATAAAAGAGGGTGAAGAAAAATGTAAAACCAAATGCTGTATTTGCCAATTTCAGCATTACCAGATGCATTGAATTCCCTTCAGCTATGCAAAAATCAATTGGTTCCAGAACAAATAACCACCAAAAGCATGCCTAGTTTAAGTTGGATATAGAAATCACAGACTTCAATGAAACACTATGTGCCTTTTGTAAGAGCCAAGCATTTTTTCTGTCCTTACCCAGCAAATGAGGAGAAGCTATAGTTCTGCTTCATTTACACTAGTGCACCTCTAGCTCAGTGAACAACTTGGAGCAAATGTTTAAGCATAATTTTCACTCCAGCTGCTGCAGTATGAGCCCACTGTGAAAAGGTAAGACTCCCTGTCTGCAAGAGCAGACCTATACTACGTCCTCTAGAAAAATCAAATCTGAGCCAAAAATCCAGTAACCAAATATATTAACAAATGGTGCATTCCCTACCAAGCCAGGCTTACTGACAGAGAAGCACAGAGTGTTTCAATGATCCCCACGTCTGAACTGGTATTAATGAAGAAACCAGGAATAAATACCCTCTTCAGGGCTTTAACTCCAGCCGTTCTGTTGTTCAACGCCATATACAGTCTCCCTAATTTCAGCCACATGGAGGCAACGTTCAGCGAGTAGGAGGGATAATGTTTACTGCAGGAGAGAAAGAAAACCAGCTTTATCAAACTTGGCAGTTTCATTGCATTTTCCCAGCCCCTATCCCCCTCTCAGGGGGCAAGAAGCTGCCTCTCGTTGCCCCTGCCCATTCACAGCTCATCCCCTCTGCCATGACTGCCAAGAGTCAGTGCCAATTGTGTCTGGGATAGGGACGCCTGTCAACTGGGAATTGAACTGAAGCTACCATATGCCTCTGAACAGCTGTCAGATGGCAATGACTTTCTGCCACTAGTTTTAATGTAGCCAGCTACAGAAAGAGACTGCATTGTTATGAGTTTTTGGAGCCACCCTGCACTCGCAGAAGTAGCTCTGTGAATTGTACAATAGTTGGTGGAATGGAAAGCGAGGGGCCCTCCGCAGTGTGTACGGCACACATGCCACTCTGTACTCGCACACACTGAGCTAGCAGAGCCCAGTTCAGCAGAGCTGACCTGGAATGCCAGGCTCAGAGCCAGAGGAGCTGGGCAAGTCCCAGGGAAGATAAATAGTACTGAGCCCCCAGGCGGGGAATGTTGGCTCCTTCTTTGTATCACTGCTCTCTGCCAAGTGATCTGTGACTTTATGTTGGCATCTGCTCCAAAGGGAAAGCTTTTCTTGTGCTCCCCCCAGCTGGCAAGAAAGTCACGTCTCAAGACAAGAATCTGTTTGGGAGACTCATGACAGGATCAGACACAGTGCATAACTGGTTGGCTCTAATGGAAGAGATCACTACTGTAAAAACACAGACAATTTTATCAGAAAGAGTATTAATTTTTTTCTGGAGAGGCTGTGTGTGCTGCCTTGCCCCACGCAGGGTTTCAGCCTGGGCATTCTCTCACACCTCCAGCTCTAGGGCAGTGGAGATCAGGGACATCGGGGCACCAACCCCTCGCCTCCGAGCACAGGAGCTGAGCTCGGCTTCAGCTCCCTCTGCCGCTCGGCCCCAGCCCTGGGACAGGGCCCTGCCCTCCTGTAG